GACAGAGGTGAAGAACGTGTGGAACGCAAAGCTGAAGAAGAAGCTGACTGCCATGGGGATCGATCCCGTCACCCACAAACCCTTCTCCCAAATCCTCACCGACTTCGGCAACATCGGCGCCGGTTTCCCCCCTTCCTCCCCCCATTCATTTTCCTCCAGCCGCCGGAGCTTTGGCTCCCTCACCAACCCTCCGACACCACACAGAGCAGAGCCACCACCGGAAGATTTCGGCGGCGGCGATCCTTTCCAGCCGTCCAGCAATTCCGATGACCCCCATCATCGCCACGCCGCCGACCTTTTCACCGAGCTCCAAGCCATTAAATCCATCACAAATAACAATTACTCAGTGGTCGAAGCTCCCCTGTCTTCTTCACTATCATCATCTTCCTCATTGACATCGAATACAACAATTGTGGATAATCCCCATCATCAAGAAGCTAATAATGGGGGTCCTTCGGGTTTCAGCTGGTGCGATTTTCTGCTTGAAGATGCGTTTTTGCCAGCCCAGGAATCAGAGTGGGACCCCCCACAGGAGCCGGCAGAGAATCGTGATGACGGGGACCCTCCTGAAAACGACAGGGTTTCTTCGTCAAACGACGACCATCTTGAAGCTGCTGCTTCGTCTTTTATGGAAGCAATGCTGTCTCGGGAAGACGAAATGTTCTTGGATTTCCCTGGACTCTCTGAGGAACCGTTCTACTATTGACCCACTTCCTTAATTACCCATTACCTATGAGTTAATATTTGACTAATTGTGATGCATAAGAAAAGAAATTGAGTTTTAATCATAATTTTAGGTCAATTATTTTAATCCGCATCATGGAAGGTGTAGATTTCATAACATAATTGGAATGTACTTCGTATGTTTTACCTGTTGTATCGCTTTTCACTTGTATGCCTCACAAATTTTGTTTTAATATATGGTGACATATATTTTATGATAGAAATTAAATAGTCTATTATGGGGTAGTAAAAATATTGTTACAAAGTGAATTATATATCCATTATTAGGGATATATGACTACAGTTTGTGTTTTTATGAGGATTCAATTATATATACTCATATACAGTTGATTTATACTCCGTATAACTTTCTTCTTTTCTAAACTTGTTTTGAAACAATGCAAACTCAGCATTTGAATTCTAAGTGCCCAGCATTACTTTACTATACACGTACATAAGACTTTGAAAAATGATATTGTTTGAAGCATTACTTTACAAACACAAAACAATTGTAGTTTTTAAAATTAAATAGTATCAACAGATTATATATCAAACGAAACTAATTAAACAACAGATAGTTTCTTTATCAAACATTTACTACGTAGTACATTTTTTAATATCTTTTCAGTCACTAAAAATAACAGTTATTAAAAAGCTTGTAAAAGTATATTTTGCTTATAAAGTTAAAAAATACGGCCGTCTCCTAGGCACGTCCAAGGGTTTTTTCCGGCGGCGGCCTATCCAGGCCGTGGGTTCGGCCGATCTCTCCCCGGTAGGCAACTTATCTCATATATCTTCTCAGGGTATTGAGTTTTGTTGTCATCGTGGGGTTTGTTTGGTTCGTTTTTGTTTTCTTTCTGACTTGCAAGTGCGGTGAATCTGGATTCTGTTTGAACGAAGCTTTTGGTTTTTCTGCTTTAGAAGAGCAACGAACAAGCGAGGAAGCTTTCAGGATGGTTTGAGGCTTTTGATTTTGGCAGGGGACGGGTTTAGCAAGGGGAAGATGGGGTGCTGCAGATTGTTGAAGACGAAGTCCAGCTGTACATTACTCTTCGGCAGTTTGGGAACGAGCTTTGACGAACCAGATGGCTATTGGTGAAAACATGGAGTTTCTGGTGGTCGACATCGTGTTGTCTAACTGGAAAATCAAATTTTAGGGGTTCATTGGTGGCCTATGTGTGACAGAAGACGAAGGGATGTTGATCCGCCCACCTCCAGAACCGCCGCTTTGGAGGATTTCTGCGACTAGGGTTTGGACGAGTATTTCTATTTTTGCTGTGTCGATTGTGTTTTGTTTTTTTATTTCGACTGTGTTTTGTTGCTTATTTATTTTATGTTGTAAGACTTTTGCACTTGGATTGAGGGATGAGAGGTCTGCGGTAATCGTCGTGGTTTTGAATATGCCCAATTTAGGATTAAATTAGCGAGTTATATTGCTTTGTCAAAGGTGATTAACTCAGAGTCTCATCCACGGGCGGATGATTACATGTGGTTCTTTTGTTATTACAATCCCTTTCTGAATGCTTTTTATGAATGAATGCCCATTTGGTGATAACAAAAAAAAGTGTATTTTGCTTGTTTCGTCGGGAGAACTCACAACCGCGCGCTATTTTAGTGTACATGCACAGAGACAAACTTAACCTTCACGTTGAATGCAATGACTTGCAAATTAAACCACGCCAACCAAATGAACTACACTAGGCAAGCTCTGTGTGACAGATTGATCGAGAAGCTAAGGTGTTGATAAAGAAGAACTAATTAAACTCTCTGAGTGTTATTTCATTTAAAGTATTCTAGCGAAATTCACAATATGACTCATGTCTACGATCCAAATGGACTTGCACGAGCATTTACAATGTTTACGGATCGGAGTCCGGAAATGATTATTGTATATTTCCATATATATATGCCATACTGTCATGTGCACGGTTACATTATCATGCAAAAAAGAATCGATTTTTTGCGAAATGAGGAGTCACAATACTCCAAATGCTAATTGCATAAAATAAAAATGAGCAAAACCAAAACAAAAGGATCAGCATGATAAAAAGTGATTTGTTTTCACTCAAAACAAAAAAGATACGCTAACTAACAATCTAATTCTTAAAATATCATAATTTATACTCCGTATATTATTTAAAAAAATTATGATTTTATATATACGAAGTATAATATAATTTCAGTGAAGAAAGATTCATCAAATTTGCAACAGATAAATAACTACTAGTAAATAGAAGCGGGGGCAAATTATATATAAAATGTGATTAATAGTTTTTCATGATTTAAGTCATCAGATCAACAATATATTTTATCTGTAATATAGATCCATGATAGATCGCTGAACTTCACCTTCAATAAGGGTAGATTTTTTTTTCAATGTAACATATCTTTTGGGTCCTTAGAAAAACTCTAAGAAATGTTCTTTATATTGACAATGAGCAAATACGTACTAAAAAGTTGTAAATTAATAATATCAATTACACATGGAATCCAACTTTATATCATTATAGAGTTATATGGAGTATTGTGACACCATCTTTATCATTTAATTTTTAGTAGATGAGCTCACTTATAACTTGAATGATAGACATGATGCTACCATACCCCATATGATTCCATAAGGTAGTCATATGAGTCTTCATAAACTTACACGTGAGATAACTGGATAAGTATACTACTAGTGTCACTAAACATTACTACCTCCGTCCCACTAAGTTTGGGACAATTCGGTTTATGATCGATGTTTGACCGACGATAAAGTAAACTGATCCCTATCCGCACTCAAATTATTTTTAGAAAGAAAAAATTACATATTCAGAAACTACATTAAAAGCTTTACAAAGTCGCAAAAATCAGAATCAAATTTGATAAAAATTTGATATATAAAATAAGAGATTAAGATTGATTTGTATTGATCAAGTGAATAGTGTCTAGAACAATCTTAGCGGGACGGAGAAGGGTATATTACTATTTGGTTTTAACCGATTGCCTTGGTTCTAGTAGAGTAGTATTTGATTTTTTCTCTATATATCTCCCATGTCACTATGGTAGATAAAGTAAAAAGTATCTTGCGATTGTCAAAACATCGGAGAATCGAGATGGAATTCATGCAACACAGTCAAATGATTTTCAAGAGTGTTGAAATTAATTACAGTACTCGGTAACCCAAAAACTGACACATATTGTGAAAATGATAGCTTATACACTATAGTTGCCATTATGCTGAAGAAGTTCATTTATATGAGTGTGGATACGGATCACATTTATATGAGTGTGGATACGGATCAGGACCGTTTAATGAATTTGGAAGCCCATGTTCAAAATGCAAATTTGAGGCCCCACATTAATATAAAAAACTACAAAACATACTCGATGTAGATTCTTAATATACCCAAATCAATTGAATACTCATTAAATAATGTAATTACAGAATTACATATTGTAACATAACTTTCTCTTTCAAATAATCAATCTCTACATTTTTTGTAAATGGTTTTAATTTATGAGGGCATTATTATACGGAGTAGTGGAGTGTGAGTTTACCTGCAGGTTACAGCCCATATTCATATATGATAGTATACACTATTACATTACATAATCAATTAATATTAGTGACCTAAAAATAATACCACTAACGTCTTATAAATATTGGGGCCCATGCAAAGTGAGGTCCTGTTCCGTCAAACCTAATGAACATGTTAAAAAATGGCCCTCATACTGATCCACTGTGCATAATAACGTAACATTAATTACGGCCAGCCAAAACAAAAAGTGTATGAAACCATGTATGGACAAAGCAACCTGTTTTGGCCTAAAGGATATAAACTCGGCAGTTTTTTGTTTGGGTACTTAACGTTCAAAAATGTATCAAATTTATTTTCAGATAACTATTTGGAAGGAAATAAGATATTGAGGAATGATATACATTAATTTATGTGCAAGTTTCGATAGTTTTTTCAATTTTGTTTTTAATTTTCGTGTATTTAATTTCTATTTGGTGAATACTAAAACATTTAAAAACACTAATGAATTTCGTTTTCCTTTACAATTACAAGGATAAAACGAAATATTAAAAAAAAAACTTTTCTTTAGGTTTTTCTTTACCATTACTCCAAAGTACAAACATAGCTTAAAAAAACTTTTCTTTAGGTTTTTCTTTACCATTACTCCAAAGTACAAACATAGCTCAATTTTTTTGCAATGTTTAGATATTAACACAATCAAAAAAAGATTAGAATATTCAATGTTCAGTGAACACAACATTAGGGGTATTTGGGTGATTTGCATGTGCCTATTAGGTGTTGCTACATATCCTAATTTATACTCCCACGCAGTATGATAATGAACACATCCGGTGCACTATAGAGCAAAAGTACCAGATCTCTCTCTCAGCGAGTCCAAATCCAGTGGAACCCCATCCCTTGCTTTACATCATAAAACCTCCCTACAAAATCTATCTCCACTTCATACACCCTCCCCTCTCTTTCGTTTTTTTGTTGTTTAACTCAGAACCCCATCCAAACAAAGATGGCAACTCAAAGGCGCAACTTAGCAGCGGCAGCGGCAGCTTCCATGGATCCCACCTTGAAAAAACCCCATCAGCCCATTCCCTCCGCCACCGCCCACCGCCAACCCCGCCCAGATCCTAAACCCACCACCACCATCCACTCCATCTCCCGCCACTTCTCCAATCTCTACACCAATCACAAGCACCACCTTTTCTCCGCATCCTTAAAGGACGACCCTGTCGTTGACTCTTCTTGCCCAGCGCTGACCAAGTCAAAGAGCCAGCACCACGCCGGCACAAAACCGCAGCCAATCAAGAAATCGCACAAAGAACAGCCTCCCGAGTTCATAATCGTCCAGAAAGGCGGCGGCGGCGGCGGTGGAGGCGGCGGAGGAATCAAGAAAGCTTCAGACGATCTTGATCTGAGCGGTGGGTATGTGGAGAAGGAGGAGGTGAAGAAGGGGCGGCCGTCTCTGTCACTACAAATGGGCGGCGGCATTGGCGGCGGCGGAGGGAGAAGAAGGTCATTTTCGAGCCCCCAGATTGAGCTAGCTGATTTCTTCTCTTGCAATAGCGTGAAGGTGGTTGCCGTAGATATGCCGCCGTATATGCAGATTCACGCCGTCGGTTGTGCAAGAAAGGTTTTTGACAGCTTGGAGAAGTTCACCTCTAAAGCCCTGGCCTTTTCCCTCAAAAAGGTAACCTACCCGACCCGAGTTTTTCCCAATTGTTCAAATTTGAATTTTGAATTCGGGCTGACCTAAGATTACTGGGGGATTCACGGGTAGCAGTTAAGTTCATGGCCGGTAGTGTGGACGGCAAGGGCACGTGCCTTTGATCTATAAGACACATTTAAAGTAGGACCAAAGTTGAATGGAGTCAATGGACATAGGGTTTGAACATGTGTTAGGGGGAAAAATTGTTAAACCTATTGATTAGGTAGAGTTTTGAGCTAAGTCTGCCTAATGACTAATGAGTACAAGACAAATGGAAAATGAAAGTTATTAAGATATACTCATAATTTGCTCATAGGCCACACATAAACATCCCAAGACCAACCTTTCTTAAATTCTTAGGGATAAAATTGGAAGTCTATAAAGTCAAAAATATCAATGTGATGCTGCCCTACACGTAATAAACTTATTAAGGTGTAATTAGACCACCTAATAATCCAATGCTATCACATTTTCATATGTGGAGACTGTAGAGTCATAAGTTATCACAGGTTCAACAGACTGATTATCTGTCCCACAGTGAGTATAAAATGTTAAACGAATTATAAAGATTAATAGGACATCCTCCAATCAGATGATAGGTAGGACTGGACTGAAAAGTAACTATATTTAGTTAAGCTAAATATGAAAATGAATAAAAACTTAGGAAAAAAATAAGTTACCCTCTGCTCAACCCACTATAGCCGTAGATCCTTCCCCGATCAGATTAAGGGGTTGTTTATTTTTTTCTATTAAGTCATATCTAGATTAAGACGTCTGTCTTAATTAAGAAATATATCGATATGTGAGGTTGTTCATTTTATATGTTGAATAAACAGTCTGATTCAAGTAAAATAATCAATTTAGTATTATTCTTATATTATAATCTCAATAAAGAAACTTCATTTATTAGTATAAATTTATTCCCCAATCACTTATGGAAAAATTGACAAAAAAAAAGTTTTAAACGTTTTAATTGCAATGACGATTATTCTTCATCTTAATTATTAAGTCAATTTTTTGACTGAATGATACTGTCATGTTTCCAATTAAGTCCTAAGTAATACGATAGTACTACCTCCGTCACAGTGGGGTTTGACAAGTGCAAATAGGTGACAAATAAGAATAGTAAAAACTGTGTGGTTGAAATTTGTGCAGATGAGAGAGAAATCTGCAGAACCACAAATTAGTTACTTTAATAGGAAAGTGTCAAAGTTTTTGGGACAACCAAAAAGAGAAATTTGACAAAGTCCAATAAGAAGGAGGGAGTATGATTTAATGGCTGGATAATTAAGTCATCGTTATCATGAAGTCCATTAAGTGGAATGTAAACTGTCTAAGAATTGGTTAATTACCCTTTGTCAAAGGGTAGCCGCTTAAACTCTGTCTAAGCTACCCTATCTATCCACCTTGTCCGGTCCGGTTTGGGGGGCAGGAGAAGATGCCACCTATAAGGCCACTCACCACAAGGGGAGATAGAATTGTCAATTGTCGTATAGTACTTTATTTATCAGTGGTAGATGCTTCGGAACAGACTCAACAGAGCAGGCGACTAGATTTTTGGCAGAGGGAAGTAAATAATTGGGGAGAGGGCTAACTTATGTGGGGGAGTTGTAATAATGCGTCTGGTTTTTGCAGGAATTCGATGGGGTATATGGACCAGCCTGGCACTGCATAGTTGGTAAGAGTTTTGGATCTTTTGTAACACATTCAGTGGGAGGCTTCATATATTTCTCCATGGATCCTAAGCTGTATATACTCTTGTTCAAGACCACAGTACAGAGAGCAGATTGATATGCATATATATATATGTCTGGGATTTGATATCCTGCCCACCATTTTAGTCTCTCAAAATCAACATCCAGGAAAAGAACTAGAAGAAGAAGATAGAGCGCATTAATTGCCCAATTGCTGTCCTAACATATGGCAATTTGTAATCTGTACAGAGTAATTGGGGCTTCTTTTTGGTCAAGAGAGGCATAACGTGGTCATTTCCCCACCCCTACCCTTCTGTATTACTCCGTAGTTTATAGCAAAATTCATTTCAATTAAAGCTATTGTGTATTTTTGTGTACAATCAATTTTGAGTTCTTAACAGTTGGTCTATTATTGTCTTGTGACAACCAAGATTGTGACTGTTCTTCCTCCATGTCAAATCAACCCTTATTGTTAAAGTACAATTCACAGCTTCCTGGGCCATAATTAATTAAACGCAAAACTCCTGGGCTGCTTGACTAATAGGGAGAAATCCTTTAGGTGTTACTAGGGCGTCTACAAGAACATCATCTGGAGTTACAGGTATGGTATCAACTAGCTGCACAGAATATGAGAGACCAACTGCAAAGCAAAACAGGAATTTTTATCATCATAACTCAATGAATGGATATATGCATTGGGGGGGGGGGGGGGGTAATGTGACATACCCTTGAGGGATTGCTTCCACTTCTGCCCCTTCGCCTGCTCTTGATATTTTGTCAAGAAAGTGTCATAGTAGCTTCATTTATTGTCGTCGTAAACCAGAAAACACATAAGCGTTAGTGGAAAAAGTACACAACAATTAACATGGAAACAACAGAAATTTCATCCTAAACAAGAATTAAACATGATATAATTCCTCAAATAAGGGTCATCATTTTCTTAAAACATGACTCATTCACTTGTATTTTAGGAATCTTTTATTGTTTATTCTTTTAATATGACTAAATAGGTTCTATTTTGAATAGAAAACGTATTTAGTAATATTTTAAAATTTTGTTCATGTTTTACTCTTATTTTGAATAATTTCATTTTCTAATAAATGTAAGGACAATACTACAAATAAGAGTGCTTATGGCCACATATGATAATGTCCCTTGTTTATATAGGACTCATTCAGGAACAAACATGATGATAACATTTAAAGCAGGTTAAAACATGTTTAGTCACTCATCGATCATAACAGCCTCTATTTGACAATGAAATAGTCACGACTAAAACAATTCTTGCTTATCTTTGACATTTCATTCAAAAAATACACAATTTTATTTTCTTCAGATCTGTTAAAATCTACTTTTAGAACACGAATGATTGGTTTCGTTATTTATAACTTCAATAAACTACCCACATTAATTGTTTACTAAACTGAGATAGCCAGTTAAAGAGAGACTAGAAATGGAAAAAAAGTTGTACTCGGTATTACATACTATCGTAGTATCGTACATGAAAAACAAAAAACAAATATCTAAAACAAGATGTATTATACGTAGTATTTGAGAAGACTAAAAACATACATGAAGCCTATAATATATTTTATTATAGATTCAAACTTCAATGGATGGAGGATTTCTTAGCAGGTTCTTCAACAATACACCAGGGGAGGATCTATGTTAGGGCTATGGTGGGCTGAAGCCCAGGGCAGAGTAAAAGAAATTATTATTTTTAAGGTATTATTATGTTTAAAAAATTACATCCAGCCCATCCCAAATTTTTCTATAGCCCAGTCCAATTTCTCAGTCCAGCCCATAATACAAAATCTTAACATCTAAAAATCTAATCTAAATGTTATACACATCACCCTCATACTTAATAATTGGCACTTAGTATATACATATAAGGACTTTATTGACATGTTCACAACAACTTTTAAAGTGCTTGAGTATCTTCAAAAACATTGCCCAAAAGTGAGTTCTTGGGCATAAGTTCGTAGTGTACATAAACACTTTTCATGTTTTGAATTTGTGATCCTTTACTTTTTTTTTACTCCAGGGGGGTCTAGGGGAAGGGGGTTGGGGGAGCTTGGAGTAATCAGGGCTGAAACTCACTCCGTTGAATTTCACACCCTTGTGTGCCTAGCAGATTTCGAACTCCAGACCCCCCACTAGACACGGTAATCTCACAATCAGCTGGGCTGGAATGCTTGGTTATGGAAATAATGAATTCTGTCAAGGCCTTCGAAATTTTTTATTTGATATCTTGTTAGCCATGAGAGACATTTTTCCATTACACAACCGATCATTCTAGAGGAATTGACAAAAAACGGATGGGAAGGCTTTCTTGAAGAAGTAAAGGAGTTTTGCTCAAAACATGAAATTCATGTACCGAAGTTGAATTTTGAATATACGGTTGGTCATTGCAGAAAGAAACTACAGTTGGCCATCATTATCACTTTGGTGTTTTCAATGAAGCAATAGACTTTGTATTGATGGAGTTAAGGACCCGATTTAATGATAAATCAATAAAACTCCTTTCTTTGAGTGCTTCATTGGATCCCAAAAATTTATATGGGTCATCCATAGGCATGGACCCGGTTCGGGCCGCCCGGCCCGGGACCGGCCCAGCCCGCCACTGTGCGGGCCCGGAACCGGCCCGGTTCTCGGGTCCGGGTCCGGGTCCGGGTCGGGCCTAGGCCCGGTGGGGGGTCGGGTCCGGGCTCGGGCCTTGTATTTGGCGAACCGGTCGGGTCGGGCCCGGGCCCGGGCCGAATTGATTTTTTTTATTTTTTTTTCATTTTTTGGGGTTAGCCGGGTTGGGCTTGATGGTTAGGAGGGGTTTGGGGGGTGAGGGGTGAGTGGGGGGGTTAGGAAAGCAAAAAAAAAAAAAAAAAAAAAAAAAAAAAAAAAAAATATGACCGAACCGGAGGCCCGGCCCGGCCTGGCCCGGACCCGGACCGGACCCGGTGGCTACCCGGACCGGTCCCAAGCCTTCCTTCCCAAAAAAAAGCCCGGCCGGGCCCGGCCCGGAACCGGAACTGGCCCGGCCCGGGTCCATGACTAGTCATCCTATGTCGATGTTATTTGTACTCTTGCAAGGAATTTCTATCCCGAAAATTTTAGTAGTCAGGACATTCATGCTTTGGAATTCGAGCTGCAACACTATGTTCATGATGTATTCATGTACAAAGTTTTAGTATCTACATTTGTTGAATTATGTGAGGAGTTGATTAAGAGCAGAAAATCTGATTCATATGTTATGATGAGTAGATTGATTTTCCTTTTATTGAACTTACTGTTCTTTTGCAAAATTAGAACACTCGTTTTATGCCATGAAACTTCTAAAGGCAGCACTCCTCAACAAAATGGATGATGACTTTATACTGAAAAAGACATTACTCTTAGTATAGACGTAGACTCTATGGTTGATGAGTTCTTTTTGTTTCAAAGCCTCGTTGAGAACAAATTTAATGGAGAACTCTTATATTTGATTTTTTGTTTATTTTGAAAATTTTCAATGTATTATTATTTAAGTGTTTCAGCCCAGCCCAACATGAAATCCTGGATCCGCCCCTACAATACACTGACTCGCACAGAATGGGCCACGCTATAAAAGAAGTTATTTGCCCAAAGGGTTATAATTTACTACCTCCGTAACATTGGGATGTTCTCATTTGAAAAGTAGGTAGATTAAGAATAGTGAAAGAAGATATGTATTATTAGGGGTATGATGGGAAGATAGTGAAATAATGTGATGGAATGAAGGATAAATCCAAAAAAGTAGGTGTAATAGTGTATTATTTTTAAAATTATTGAGGGTATGATGGGGAGATTTAGAAATGGGAAAATAATAATGTTACGTCCAAAAAAGGAAAGTGAGAAAATATTTATGTTACGGAGGTAGTAATAAACTTAAGTTTCCTAAACCCCTCCTATAATGATGACAATCTTCTGCCAGCTTTGCTGATTCTCAAGTGTGGGACTTCAAATTCAGATTTATGCCACCTAGCCAATACTCCGTATTAAATTGTTGCCGAGTGATAAGCGCCGCATTATGTTTTTTGTTGTTGGGGGATGGTACAGTACTACAGTTCCCTGAATAAAGTAGTCTAAATGAAGTTCAACTGTAGTTCATCACATGATTCAAATTATAATAATTGAGTATTAACTACTTTGGACTTCCAAGCAAGTATCAATCAATCAATCAAAAGTAATAGAACTAATTTCTCTTCGTTAATTTTTAAGCACTCCAGCAAGTACTCATAGATTGGCCCTCCCTTGCTACACCCCTAAACACACACATCAGCATTCCCGATAACTTTTTCAATAAAATTTCCGGCTTTTTATACTCCCTCAGTATCTATTTAATTGACATGTTTGCTTTTTCACCGTAGTTTAAGATAATTACTCTAGATTATACTCCCTCCGGTTCTAAATAAACTTCACACTTTCCTTTTTGGGACGGTCCAAAATAAACTTCACACTTCCTTATTTCCTTATTTGGCAAAGAAATCTACATCAAAACAGTGTTAAACAGTGCTAAACAGTGCCAAACAGTGTCTCAACAGTGCCAAACAGTGCCAAACAGTGTCTCAACAGTGTATTCTAAAGTAAAGTCAACTTTATTTTCTTAATAACTGTAAAGTCAAACACTGAAGTTTAAAAAGAACCGGAGGGAGTATGAAAAGTAAGAGGTTTTTGGTGCTATAGCGATACTGTAGCTGCTTTTTGAATGAGTTTATTTCCAAAAAGGGAATGTGACAATTAATTTGATACGTCCCAAAAGGGGAACTGGGACAACTAAATAGATACGAGGGAGGATAAAAAAAACAGGCGGAAGTTGTTGGCTGCAGCATATGAGAAGTTGCGGGGGAGAGAGAAAGAGGTGAACGGAAAGATAGTGTTTGATACTCCATAATATTTACTAACTTTGTTTGAAATATTTAAAAATAATTATACTGTTTCTATGAGTATATTTCAGTAGTTCTTTCCTGTTTTTAATCAGAAGTGAAATACTTTCTAACTTTAGTAGAGGCGGAAGAATACTAACAAAGAACTTTATAACACTTAAACAGATTATGTCTACCTCAAACCAATAGCAGCTCTATGTTGAAGTATATATGCACAGGCTACCGATTTAAAACTTACCCCCCACCCCTGCCTAAACGGTTTCCAGCTTTATCAAATCCAAGTCCTTCAGAGTAAAGGGGAGAAGAATATTAGAAATTAAAGTGGATTGAAATTACATACATCATCCACTGATTAGAGAAGAAACTTACCTGGCAAAAGGAGCAAGTCAACTGGTTCATTAGCTAATAACACTGCAAAAAGAGAACTTTCTTTAGAATATACGGAGTACTACATATAACTAAGGCAATGAAAAGATAAGTAATACCAGCCCCAACCGGAATTACTACTAAAAGTAGAAATCTACTCCCTGAGACCTTTGTATCTTATTAACCGCATATGTTAGTTCCATTCAATCATCACTGAATAACTATTATAGTTTCAACTCATGTAATATGACCCCACCTCAAACAAATATAATAGTAACACTTCAACAAATTAGATCAAGTATTGCCATTTTGCCAAAATTAGAGCCAGCAGCTCTTAAAATGAAAACAAAGAAGGTAAAGTGATTTAGATGAAAAATAAAGGTTACCATCTTCACGTTCATTTCCCTCAGCATCTACCAGACCTGGTTCCAAAATGTTCATTGAATTTGCAATTAAATCTTGAGTGCTCGAGATATTCAACATTCGCATATTTCTGTTCTTATCCTCTACACGTGGAACATAAAGCTTCTTTTGATCTGCATAACCCCATCCTAGTCATATTATACTATTACGGAGTATAAAATAAGAAAGCTTTCCACTTTGCTAGAGAACATGCAAGAAATTACATGCTTAAGTAAAAAATCCTAATATTTATTTTGGCAGACCGAAGAATAAATCCCCCAAATCTCTCAAAGACAAGCATTATACATCCATACAAAGATTACTTACACTATTACAACCATTTAGAGTTGTCTGGGTGAACTCATAAGTTCAGATCAAAATCCCACATGAGTAAATAAGATCAGCTTGGGAATAACGTATTCTAGCCACACTCTAGTCAGTGTTCTAAAAAACGCTACATGGTCCCTAGGTGGTGTAACTGTGTAAGGCTGGCACTTTAAGTGAGCAAAAGGAGCCTAAGGCCCAAAAACTTACTAGGCCCCAATTTTGTAACTCAAGCTCCAAAAACTCCCTTCTCTTTAACTGCTGTATATATTTACATACATTATTGACTACATTATTTCTTTGTTAGGTTGTATGTCTTGGAGGGATGCAGGATGCTCCACCCTATTGTATTGTAGATGCTCTATAGTCTTCATGATTATTGATTATTGCATTAATATATGAGTTTCTTTTTTGTAAAAAAATGTTCGCATCCATAGAGATTTCCAATGGAGAGAATAGATTATGAAGACATCACTATAAAAATTATTTCAAATAAACTTATAAAGATAGGTCTGTTTGACCAAATTTTGATATTTATTCAAAACAATGTATGCAAGTTTGATATGTTTGATCAATTAATTATGTAAAAAGAATTGTAATCTAGTTTTATTATATTAATTATGAATTTACTCTTTTATACTATGTAATCCGTATTAGTTTTTACTTTTATGTTTTAGGATCTAATATTTGGTTATGAATATTTCGGCCGATGGTCAGGATCAAGCCTAGTGGAAGAATAGGGTCTAGCTTCTAGGTGAGGTAGGGTTAGGCAGTGACCAATCAAGGCCTAAGTAGGACTGAGTCATGAAAAATCCTATATAGATTAGTGAGGCCTAGCGTCTCGACGATATCTAGGCAGTGCTAGGAGGAGATTTTAAGAAAAGAAATTCTAAGGCAATATTCATGCCTTTCGGTTGGCGCACTGTTGTTCCAAAGAAAATTTGAAAACAGTGAGGGAAATGATGTGCAAATCCTTTGAAAAGTTGTCCATTCAAAAGATGAGATAGTAAAATAATACTCCCTCCATCCCCGAAACAATTTCCCGGTTTGACCTACACACATACTAAGGAAATAAACTTACCAGGGGGTAAATTTTAATGTTTTGACACTGTTTGACACGTTTATGCTGTAGATAATTTGCCATTTAAGGAAATGGGAAGTTAAATTAGGGACATCCAAATAAGAAAAGTGGGAAGTTGTTTCAGGGACGGAGGGAGTATAATACACACACCTGTGGCCTGCGTCTGAAGAATTTCTGACAGTATGGTAGAAGTATCAACTTCTCTGAGGGCACTACAACTAATGTAAGCACAAAGTCTCTTACAATCTTTAAACCATGAAGCTTTCAGAACTGCATTCTGTATTTCTTCATCTAGAAACCATCACATGTCAACAAATAAGCTATGTTGCACGGAAACGTGAATATCATGAAGAAACGGGAAACGCCAACTTTTGCTCAAAAATCACTTGTTTAGAGAGTTTCCAAAGAGTTTTTGTAGAGTTTCCGAAACGGAAACGTACTCTTTCTCGAGAGTTTCCATGCGACATAGCAAATAAGCATACATATATAGAGGTTTTGTTTGTGTATGAGAGTGGTAAAACCAAAACTTTTTTCTAGGGGTTCCACTATGTGTAATTTTGCAAAAACACTAAACTATCATTAAATTGATAGCAATTCAACAACACTAACATCCAGGCATTAATACTAAAAGAGTCTGGGGTCGACTGACATGATTTGAAATACGACATCGGAGTTAAAAACAATAAATAGAGATTGTATGTATGCATGCAATTGATAACAATAAAGGGCAGCCCGATGCACGAAGGCATCCTGCAAGGCGAGGGTCCGCAGAAAGGTCCCACCACATGGGTGTATAAAGGGCAAGCTTTCTCATGTCAATTTTTTGACAAGAAGCCGCTCCCAAGACTTGAACTCATAACCTCTCAATGATAAAGTAACAGTACACCCTTAATCGGGCACAAAAGCTCCCCTTCATGCAATTGATAACAATAATGGCAAAAAAGACATGCAATTGTATGCATGAAATAATTGTTAAATTTGTTTACGTTTGAATAAGTATGATAGCTGGAAGAAGAAGAAGAAATAAACAAACATACGATGTCTATTACTGTCTTGCGGGTTTGCATAGGTTAGAAACATTGCAAGTTTTAGTCACTTCCAATCATTGCAAAAAAAAATAGAGAGATATCAATACAAATAGATAGATGCATCCCTCGATATATGCTATGTTCCAACCATGGGAATTTATCAAACCAAGCTACTTAAAACTTCTATGATCTTTACCATATTGTTTTCTGAGATAAGGATGGGAAGTAGGACTACAATAATCTCTATTTTTTAAAGGTACAATAATCTCTAGTTAAGAACTCTCTTTGAACATGTTATCCAATGGAAACTCGATTTCTTTAATAGTTTAATAGGTATACCTAAACCCAACACAATTTCATTTGATTTGTATTTCGCACGAAAATCAATTTATCTATTATTTATTTCATGCCTAAACCCATGAATAACCTAACAACTTATTCACTCATCCATTGATAAAGTTATAAAAATATAACATCCTCAATGTGTATATGCAAAAGGTTTCATAACATCTTCAATTCACTCATCCATCCGTACACTTACAATCTGTGCATATAACTTGGTAATACACAGATATGAGAAAATCAACACTCTTGTTCCATGTTTCTTGTCCCACAAATGTCACCATGTTTGACTGATCAAAAGGATGATTCTTTTCAGATGACACATAAGTAATAAATTAGTGTTAGTAATTAAAACTACCTATTTCAAATTATTGCACAACTTTTATTGATATGCACAATTGCACAAATGAATTCGAATATGAAAAAGTTCAGTACATAAAATCAGAAAAAGATTAGTAGCAAGCTATTAACTGGGACAGCTAATTTGGAAAGGATGGAGTAACATATAAACCAATACACGAATACAAGTACTAACATACATTAAAGTACGTAGTATAATCTCGAAGCTTCTCGCTGTACTTCTCGCCGGCAGAGTTATTTGCTGCGTTTTAATACTCTTTTAATAAAAAATTAACCAAACGCCAGTATTTTGCCACTGGGTTTAAATAATTCTGTAACTGCGTACGGCGTACCTTCTTGGGACCTGAGGAAGGGATCCATGAACTTGATATCTCTTCTGAGTTTGGAACGAAGAGCCTTTTTCTGAGCGAAGATAGCGTCCAATTCGGTGGCGCCGCAGCTCTGGTTGGTGGTCATGGTTGCTAGACGGCAGCGACGAGGTGGCGATGGCCGGAGTAGGACGGCAGAGAAGAGTAATGTGCGTATGAGAATGGGATTCATGCCTTCGAGCATGGCGCCCAATCCGAAGTCGTGACGGAGGCTGCTTTCAAAAATTATTTTTAAAATATATTTTATTAATAAAATAAAGAAAAAAATTATATGTAAAAATAGATAAAGTGATCAGTAACTTGAGCCAATACATCCATAAAATTAATTTCAACCTTACTTTTTCTGTTTATTACACAATTCAGCTCATGAAAGCAAAAGTTACGTGTTTGATGAAAAAGTTGGCTGATAAGTCTAATAAGCCGAAAAACAGTATTGCCAAACGGCCTCTAAATTTAGGCCTAATTTATTCCTTTTTTATTTTTAGGCTCAATATCTGCTCCCTTGACTCCTTCCGCTCTCTTTCAAACTTAGGGTATGTTTGACACAACTAGTTGAAAAAATATTTTTGTGAGTTTTTATTAACTGAGCATTTAGTGACTGAAAATATTTTAAAAAGAAAATGTTGTAGATGTTTCATAAAAAATTGACTGCTTGATTTAGTTCTGTTTGGTCTAAAAAATTGTTGTGACTAATTAATGATTTAGACTTTATCCTAGATGCTCCTTATTGTAACTTCTCAAAAAAGATCTTTTTTTACATAAACTCTTAAAAATTGTCATTATAGTACAAAAGTTAGAAGGTTGGGGCTTATCATTTATGCCTACCAAACATGCACTTAGAATAAACACATTAGTTCTATACTTGTGCGCGTTAAAAAGTCCATTTCAAATTATAAAAAAAGATAGGTGTTGTTGATAGTTGATAGACTTGATACCTAAGACCATTTGTAGTGGAAGGTTTCAATAGTCCAAAAAATTAAATGTGGAGCTTTTGGACTCCTATTTGCTTACATTGGAGTAGTAAAATGGGGTTTAAAATGGAAATGGGAGTGGAAGGGTTCAAATGTAGAGGAGTTTAGACAGCCCAAAAGTAAAAGAAAAAACGGAAAGCAATGGCCTGTGTGTGGTTGCTGTTACGCGGGTGACGCCATGCTGATGTAACCCCTGCGTAAAAAGTCACTATTTTTTAAAAAAAGACTAACTATTTTGTTTGTGGTCCAATGTTTTTGAAAAATATATTAAAATTTATATATTTTTACAATCATTCATTTGACATCAATATTGTGTATATATATATATATATATAATTTGTTCAAAAAATAAATTGAAGTTTCAAGAGCTAGAGAGTTGTTTAGGCCTAAGAACACTAAATACAAATTTTAATTCACGTTGTCACCACAAATAACTGTATATTACATGAACTCATTTTACTTTTTTATTAAAAGTGAAAATATAATATAAAAAAATAATGATAATTATAAATTGTTAACATCGAAATGTGTATTTTTTAATTTTGTAACTCTTCAAAAATTAAATCTAAGAAAATTATTACTTATAATAATCTAATTAATGTTTTATTAAACTGGTATGCAAAAAACTGTAAAATGTATTTTATTGATGGTACTGGAATGCGGGGAAAATGTTATTGACGTAGTCTATACACTGTTTTCATATTGATGGAATTCATATTTAAGTTTTTAGACTCCTAACCACTCTAAATGGTCTAAGGGCCTTATTGATTTCTTAATAGCTTTATATTTAATCTTCTGATATCATAAGTACAAAACCCTTCAGCATAGACTACAGAGAAGGCGTGCACAAAAGGATGCCTATCAATGAGCTTTTTTATCACTATCTCTTTTTATACCTATTGCATCTTTTATTAATTATACTTATTGAATGGATTTTTTTACGGATTATTGTTACTTAATTTTTTCGAAGCTGATTTTTGCGGTGATTCATGACTTGCTTTTACAACTTTGCAGTGTCAATGAATAATAATTAAAACACAAAAAGTAAACATCTCGCACAGCTAAATAGCAACAAGAATACTTGGAAGCTACCAATTTATTTATCACACGGCTAAATGTCTCACACATTTATTTATCACCCCCACAGTTACCAAGTTGTGTTCCAAAGCGAAATGGAGCCCATGATCTAGTATCCTCTTTTTCGATACCCCTTCAGATGTTTCAGTTAACTAAGCTATTAGGACGGTTTTCATGAACCGACATTATAAAGAAAATCTTCCATTATTAGGACGGTTTTACAGGAACCGGCGTTAAAAGGGTGACGTAGTATGTCCTTTGTGTAGTAAATGAAATTATAATATGACAATCAAAATATGAAAGTTATATCAAAATGTTCTTTATTCAAAATATTTTCATAAAAGTACAAAATTTATAAATTATACACAAATATAATGATTAAAATCAATGTCCAAATTTTATCGTCATTGATTAAGAAAAGTCAATATAACGAACATTTTTGGGAAGAAGGTACTAAGAAATGGTTCCACTTTGCTAGAGAACATGTAAGAAATTACATGCTAAAGTAAAAAAATCCTAATATTTGTTTTCGTAGACCGAAGAACAAATCCCCCAAATCTCTGAAAGACGGGCACAGAAGGGTAAACGTTTAACGACATAAAGGTAAAGAAGCCAACTCAAAAAGTAGAGTTCCACTTTCTAAATGTAATGTACAATTATGCATAGTGTATTGACATAAATCAAGGGTACGTACCAACCCTCTTTCACAATTATATTTTTGTTAGACATACATTATTTCTTTGTCAGGTCGTATGACTTGGAAGGATGCTCCACCATATTGTATTGTAGATGCTCTTCATGATTATTGCATTACCGTATGAGTTTAGTTTTGTAAGAAAATATTCACATCCACAGAGATGTGAGCCTGCCAATGGGTCGAGTCCAAGCAACACCTTAATCGATGCACCAAACCTTCCCTTCATGCTATTGATAACAATAATGGCAAAAAAACATGCAATCATATGCATGAAATAATTGTTAAATATGTTCACATTTGAATATGTATGCTTGCTAGAAGAAGGAATAAACAAACATACATTGTCTATTATTGTCCTGCATGTTTGCATGCGTTGGAAACATTGCAGGTTTTATCACTTTCAATCATTGCAAAGAAAATTGAAGAGATATCATCACAAATAAATAGATGCATCCCTGGATATATGCTATGCTCCAACAATGAGAATTTACCAAACCAAGCTAGTTAAAATTTCTATGGTCTTTATCATATTGTTCTATGAGGTAAGGATGGGAAATCGGACTACAATAATTTTTGGTTAGAAACTCGCTTTAAACATGTTATCCAATGGAAAATCAATTTCTTTAATAGTTTAATAGGTATGCCTAAACAAACACAATATCTTGTCCCACAAATTTCAAGATGTTTGGCTGATCAAAAGGTTAATTCTTTTCTGATGACACGTAAATTACAAATTAGTGTTAGTAATTAAAACTATGTAATTCAAAATTATTCTACAACTTTCACAACTTTCATCGGAGTAATAAGACCATAATGTCTTAAAAATAAAAAAATCTCTTTATCAATAATACACCGCCATGAACTGAAGCTCCCACATACTCCAAAGCATTGGAATTACATAAACAAATGTATAATAATTACGTTGAGATAACTACCATCAACTTGACAACATAATTACATTAAAAATTGATTGATGAAGATAACTAAGAATGGCTCTGAGGCAGAGGACTTGGCAAGAGCGGAGTGCACAACCCCATTATTCATGATATAAAAGGTGTCATTTCAAAGCTCCAATCTGGGATATATAGAAAAGAAACCAAACAGAAAAGTTTCCCGATTGAGAAATATACTTTGTAATAACAAAAACAAAACTTTTATGATAAAACATATAACTTCAATTCATTTGAGTTAGTTTTACTCAGCTATTTAGATTTAAAAAGCCTATATGAAGTTACAACTTTTGTATTAAAAGTTATACTTTTGTTACAACTAGTATAAATTACTACGTATATTTTTCTGTGATTTTTTCACTACATATATACATGTATATATAACGTACTGCTCTAGACATCAATCGACATAATACTAGTTCTCATGAGTTACTATTTTTTGTTTAATTTCAGGGCTCCTTCGGAAAGAACAGAAGACCATGAAGATTCATGTCACTGCATGTTGGTATATATACAGCTTAGTGATCATCTACTGGAATAGTATGCTGCCTCATCACTTCCTGTATAAATTGAATATAAGATATCAACCAACACATAAACTATGTCCTTACAATTACAATAGTTAAGATGAAAAAAGCAAATGATACTTCTTTGTGATATTAAAGGAACTTTTCCGAAATAAGAGTAGAAATATTGTAATATTTCAAAATATGAGTAATGTATTCCCCCTCGTAAATAGGAGTAGATTATTGTTGAAATCATATTGTCACTATCCGACATTAATATTACAATATTAATGCCATAACCGATAGTATGTTCTAAGAATGACATGAAATACTCATTTTAGGAGTGAAATATAATGAATCTATTTTGAAATATCGTATTACGTACTTTTACTCTTATTTAGAACAATTTGTGTATGACTTACCCTTATATGGATGTATGCTTCATCGTCATGACTCATGCATGCATATTATTAGAACCATTAGGCTCCTCTAATAACAAATGTGTTTCATCTGAACAAACATTAGATGGGCTGGAAATATGAGAGTTTTCTTGACTGACGATAATTGATTCCCCCATATTATTATTGTTCCCATCAATGGAGGGTGCTGGTTCAAAATGATCATACCGTGTTGTTGATGGTTCTTCATGAGGGCTGACACATTCTGACACATCAACAGATGATGGTAAGAAGTGGGACCTCAATAGTTCTTGATAATCTTCATCGCCGTGGATTTCAAAGTCCTCCTCTTCTTCTACATATGCATCATTTTCATCTCTCTGATCATCTAAGGGTCCAAATTTAAGCCTATAAGCATCAAGCTCATCCTCCAACGCCTTCATATCCTCCTCTTGCTTTGCAAGCATTTCCTTCATCAACTCTACTTCCTCTTGGTCAAACTCCACCTCCTCCTCCATCATTCTTTGGTACTGCAATGCCTCCATTTGGAGGGCAGCCTTCTCATCTTGCAGCCGAGTTATCATTGCCATTGCGTTGTTTGCAGCAATGGCAGAAGCGTTTCTTTCTTCATCCAGTTCCATATACAATGCCATGAGAGATTTGCGGTCCAAACGTACCTGCTTCTTTAAACGTCCAAGAATGTCCCCATCTCCTGCTGCTTCAATGGTGTCTATAGGATCTGATGATGATAATGAAAGAATGACATCCATTGGAAGCCTAGACAATCTAGGGCTCGCTTGAGCTGAATCCGTCAATGGGATACCAAAAAACTTGTTTCCTCGAATAAAACTCGGGGTCTTACAAGCATCTTCTTGGACTCCAGATAATTTATTAGAATCATCTCTACCTGCATATATGCAGACATATAGTCACCATGATTTAATAAATTAATAGAACTAAACATTTAACAAGTGTTACTTTAGGTTTAGGAATAAAACATTCTTTATTTTACTTTTGAACTTGTTCTATCTTTTTGTGACAATTTCAAAAATACAACGGAAGGGGCGATTCAAGTTTTGGGAGTGGCCTCTTGTCCCGATGACAAAGGAAGCTTGCCTATATACATCCTTTTGGGCCTTCTCCAGACCCTCACTTTGTAAGGACGCCAATAATCCAATATGCATCACTCTGCCATTTTCTATCTTTTAATCATACTTTTGAGAAATTTCTCGAGGAGAGAAAAACTACAAACTCATAATTACCTCCTCCGCCATTTGTAATACAATCCTCTTCTGGAATCTCGGAGTCATGATCAGGAACCATCTTGAGCTCATTGAAACGAATGCGTGGTGATTCGACAATGCTACGCACCCGCTCAAGCTGTCTCCAGGCACGCGGGGACGGAGCAGGAGCAATGGCATTGTTCAATGATCCACTTCTCCTATAATATTTACTATTGTTATTATCTCCCCTCCTCCTCCTAACAAGCTCCCCACAACACAAACACCACATCTCAACCTCCTTCTCCTCCTCTTCCTCATCCTTGTTCCTATTATCAAATGTCTTCTTCTTTATAAATTTCTCATCACCCTGCTGTTGCTGCTTATTCTGCAGAATGATCCCCAATAGAGATTTGTACATGTTGTCACATTCGGAACCTTCCTTCTCAGTTGCGTAGGAAAGAAGACAGGTGTCACACATACGCTTTATGTTAGAAAGCTTCTTATGAAGGTGGCAATATACGAGGGATGAAATGTCTTTCTTGTGAGCTTCACACATTGATTCATTGTAGTTTGGTGAAGAAGATGACCACCTATTATGAGACATGACATAATCTATCCTCGTACACAACAAGCATGGAACGTTGAGCTCAAAAAACTTTGCGAATTCGTCAGATAAGAGCGCCAGAAAACCGTCAATGAAAATCAAAACGATCATCACCCATTCTAGCATTGCATATATGACCATGTTTGCCCATTTTGGAAGGTTTTGTTCCACAAAACACTTGAAAGACAAGTCATTCGTCGGAGAATGCATCATTTTTTGTATGGATCAGACGATGAATTGGATTGGTAGAAGAAGGGAAGAAGAAAGAATACACAACACACGGGGATCAAAACCCAAATTGTGATTAATTAAATCAACCACCCCTGGATCATGACCCCTTTGTCACTTTCCTTTTTGAACAAAGAAATGATAGATCAATTTGTGTGTGCTAATTATATTATCATAAAAGATAAGAGAAGGAGAAGGTCAAAGATAAATTAATGGATGGTGGAGTGGAATAGAGGTACACGTAGTGTTTAATTAAGCCATCATTTCCTTTTCTTTTTCTCTTCTTTTTTTTGGATGAAATGCATGCTCATTCATCAACATTCTCCGCAATTTACGTTATGTAAGGCTATCAGCCTTCCATTTTCTATACCTTATTGTTCCAGGCCTCTACTTCTTGTGGGGCGCAAACTCATTTTCTTTCATCTTCACATTTCCTCTCCTAGATAGTAGGTACAACAAAACAATGTTTTCCTCTTTTATATTTTTATTTTTTTATTTGATACATTTTCTAGTGAAAAAATGTATGGCCTCTTTCGGAAGCATTGGCGGTTCCATTCTATTCAAGAGGGCGGGTTTAACCCTATTCAGAATAATCACATGAACACCCAAAAATTTGATTTTTTTTAAATAAAACGCAAAATACACATACATGACTAATATAATAATTTATATGTTGTACTTTTTATTAAAAAAAATGTACTTTTAATCATATTTGCTAGTTTTTTGTTTCTACTTCTTTATTAGCCAATTCCTTCTACAAACTCCTTCTCTTGAGATAGTTTTTAGAAAAACACATCTAATTGGGGAACGTGTTTTGAGTCTTGATTATAAGAAACATATACGAAACTTTACTTGTGCAAAAGAAGATATAACAAAAGAGAAGAGGCATGAGTAAGAGGGGATTTTACAAATGTGATTTAATCTTTTTTTTTTTGAGAACATGTGATTTAATCTTATTAAAAATTGTGGCTTTAAATAGTAAATTAGGGGTTGCATTTTGACGAACTCTTTTTTTTGTCATCCTTCATCAAGCATTATGTACTTTGTTATATTTATAGAGTTGTTCCTAAAAAGAGATGTCATTAATTGGGAGGATATCTATTTTCTCAGTCCCGAAGATCAGATATATATATATAGGTTCAAATGAGAACCATGCTTAACGTGAGAACTCCACTTTTAAGCAGATGTGATGCACTATATCATGTATATGTTGCACATTTTCATGTTGACGAAATATTTAGGAATCTGCCACCACATTTATTTGATATTAGCACATTTTGATCAAAATTTAAAAAGTGCATTAGATGAGCCTCATAGTGCACCGAGATGTGTTAAAAGTGCATGGTTCTCACGTTCTCACGTTAAGCATGGTTCTCATTGGAACCGCTCCCTATATATATGTTTGGGTAATCCAATGTTTAGTGCATTTAATGTCTTATTGTGCTTCTTAAAGAATAAAATGGAGACACATGCATAAGAAGACTTCGATCTATCATTATCATTACCCCAATGTCGCAAAGACTCCCGTTTACGATGAAGTGTGGGGGGGTCGAATGTACGCAGTCACCCGTGTTTTAAAGCACAGAGAAACTGTTTCCGGGTGACCCATAGTGAAAATCACGTCGAAAATTGTGTGGGCTGACTGCTGCTTCATAATGAAGAAACACATACTCCCTCCGTCCCATTTATATTGTCCCGTTTTACCTTTTCGGAAAGTACCACTTAAATTGTCCCATACCATATTTGGCAAATTTTGTGTGGCTCTAAATCATTCTTACTTTATTCTTACTTTATCAATTAATATCAACCACACAAACCCACTTTTCTTAATAATCGTGCCACCCTCTTCCGTCCCAATATAAATGGGACGGAGGTAGTACAATTTAGCAACTCATTTTTCTTTATTCCATCAAATTACTAAGCAAAAAAATTGTGAGTTTTTGGCTTCATTGCAAATGTTGGAAATAAGAAGACTTTGGTTTATAAAATGACTACTTTGTATACTTGTATTCAATTAGGATCGTACAAGCACATGAAATGACCAAAAATGGGTTAAGATTATTTGTGTATATTTATTGCTACATGAATTTTATAGTTTATGTGTTTGTGTTGGACCAACAGTCCAACACTAGACGAGCTTATTGAAATCTATCAAACGAAATCATTTTGTGTTCATATATTATTCGATATAAGGATTTTATAATTTGTTTATTTGTGTTTAATGAGTTATAATCATGCCTTAATCATGTCCCGTTTTGGTTTGCACTCTTTTAAGAATTCATTACTAGTAAGTTTACAATCATGTCATTACAAACATGCCAAGAATGTTGCTATTATACATGAACACATAGTCATAACTTCTTTCGAATTTTCATCTCTTATCACATACTTAAGATTCACTGTTAACCGAGTTTTACTATTGCACTAATACTCAGCTCTATCACTAAAAAATGTTATTTTCATTATGTGCACTTCGGTTCCAGTAGCAATAATAGTGCACACACACACACATATAGGAAATCTTTCCGATAAGGTATACCTTACCGGAGGCGCCGTGCGACCTCCACGTTTTGAGGGCCTCCCCGGTGGAATTTTTCTATGAAATTTTTTGAGCATGTTCTTCATCAAGTCTAGTACATCCATACCAAATTCCAGAAAAAAATTCAATCGGGAAGGCAGTCAAATGATTTTTGGAAGATAATTGCGTTTTATATGTATATAAAGGGGTGCAGTTATTAATGGAATTTATGTTGTAATAATGGATGTGTACACCAAAAATTATTCATCTGACTTTAATAAATTCGAAATTGAATATTGTGTTCTTGTTCTACATCAATAATGCAACGATGAAACATGTCTACGTAATACTGAATACCCTTAATTACATTATTAATACTTAAAACTCTTAGATTGTCTAAGTACTGCATTACATGGAATCTAAATCTATTTTCAAACATTGAAGTCGATGGCTTCAATGTCGTCCGGACCATCAAAGATATCCACGTTTTCTGCAATCCGAGAGCCCGTCTTGCGTTGTGGTTGAACCAGATCTGTATCTTCACGAAGTCCAGCTCTGTGACGGACGTTAATGTCTAATGCTGCGTGATCTTGAAATACAGCGGATTGGGTACCTCCCATATGTAGACGCCCCTGTTGTATTGTTCCCGGGTGAGCGTATCCCCGGTGCGAAAATCCATATTTATGACAGGAAATATGGAGATAGTAACTACACCCGCAGGAGAGATCTATTCGTCATCTCCATGGAACCCACCGTTTTTAGTCCGGATTCTGGACTTTAAATTATTGGAAAAGATAATCCCAGATTTTTCGGGATCATTATTATCTGGATTCGCACAACTGTCACGCACCCCGAATAAATAGATTCGATTCGATAATTTTGAATTCTGCGTTTTTTAAGGTCCAATCGCGGAGACCCACATTTTCCTTTTTTTGAGGAAATCTTTGTACGAAGAACCTTCACCAGGATTGCACAACACAGATAGCTTTACTGAATGCAACTAAGGCATATCACACACAAAGCACAAGATTTTGATTTCCTTACCGCTGCGCGGTCTAGATCTGTAATCGATTGTCGTTTGAATTTTCATAATCAATTTGTTAAAAGTGAGCTTGACATGGAAATAAATCGACTTAATGACATCTTTTATAACAACAGTCTTCATTATTTGACTGAAATAGTGTTTACAGTTGTAAGTACACTTAATATCCATACGTTATACGCGAGGATACATTGAAGTAGGGGTGTTCGTCGGTTCGGTTTGGTCGGTTTTCGGTTTGGTCGGTTCGGTTTGGTCGGTTTTTTACCGGAAAAGCTGAAACCGTAAACCGAACCGCACTACTTGAGTCGGTTTCGGTTCGGTTTCGGTTCGGTTAATATCGGTCGGTTCGTGTCGGTTTCGGTTAGTTTTAGCATGTTTTTGTCGGTTTTTGTCGGTCGGTTTCGGTTCGGTCGGTTTTTTAACCCCAAAGGTAAAACCGTAAACCGAACTGCCAATGTTTAATCGGTTTGAGTCGGTTTCGGTTTGAGTCGGTTTCGGTTTTGGTCGGTTCGGTTTCGGTCGGTTTGTCGGTCGGTTTCGGTTTTTCGGTTTTTTTGTTCACCCCTACATTGAAGACCGCATAATGGCTTTCATCGCTAAACTTGTAACAAAGATAATACAACAACGCATTCTTCTGGATATTACTATAACGGCCATCTATTACTCCTTCCTTGTCGTGGAAGCTAACATTCAGACCCAACTTTTGAAGAGGTAGCCACACTTTCAATGGGAACTTATCTCTATCATTAGCACCATTATGAATCACTTCACACCTCGATAACATCCTAAAGCGTTTGAAAAGATCCAGCTTTATTCGAGACGTAAGATCACATGGATGTGAGAAACCATTGAATATTTCCTCGAACATGGGTAATGACCCAGATGAAGTGTTCGGAAACCTATCCAGTAACACATATCTTGTTTCGGCTTCATCCTCTTAACGTCAATAGAACCATTTGTGCTGAGACTGCGTAGAGTAATTGATGCCTTGGGCCGTTTGTTATTAAGAATGTGAAATAATGGGAAAGGGGTACTCCAATAGGAGTCCTGACAGATATATTTATAATAGAAGAGTTGCCAAAATACAAAGTATTCCTAAACAGATATTAGGCAGATTCCTAAATATCTATTAGGTAGATTCCTAATTATATTAGCCTATTACACCCCCTCAAACTGTGCGGGAGATACAACGCGCAGGTTGTCTTTTAAAAAAATGAAATTGCAAACTAAAAAACAAAACTCTTAGTAAATATATCTGTGAGCGGAAGATTAGAAGGCACATCTTTGACAATAAGATCTCCATGAGAATATATGTCTGCAGCAGCCAGCGGCGAACTCAACAGCGCGCTTGAAGCAAGCACCGTGGTCAGCGACGCAGAGAAGGTGGGCTGCGCGGACATAGGCAGCAGCAGGCGGCGAACTCAACGGCATGCTGGAAGCAAGCACCGTGTTCAGCGACGCGAAGGAGGTGATCTGCGCCATATTAGCCGCGCTCATCTTCAAAGGATTAGAGACTACCGTAAATGTGGCGGCAGTCGACCCTGAGGCGGCGGCGGCTATAATAAGGTTCATGAGAACCGAAAAAAAGAAAAAAAAACTGTATCTAAAAACCTAAGCTCTTGATACCATGTGAAATAATGGGAAAGGGGTACTCCAATAGGAGTCCTGACAGATATATTTATAATAGAAGAGTTGCCAAAATACAAAGTATTCCTAAACAGATATTAGGCAGATTCCTAAATATCTATTAGGTAGATTCCTAATTATATTAGCCTATTATTAATATATCTGTCAGGACTCCTATTGGAGTACCCCTTTCCCATTATTTCACAAAGAACACCCCGAGAGGGCATTAGAAAATTCTCGCGGGTCACTCTGCTCGGGGGGTAAGGAGGCTCCCATTTTGTCCCCAATGCTCATCATATGATATTTGAACAAAGCAAAAATTCTTCCAATGGAAGAACAAAATAACCTAATTGAAAATTGGCGAAGATCAATCACTTACTGGAAGAAGCAACAGAAGTAAGATCAAAGCTACGGAGAACGGCGAAAGATATGGAAAAAGCACAAGAAGTAATATTGAAGCTGAAAGGATCGAAGAAAGTTGGGAGAAGGCTGAGTGGCTGTGCCTGTCTGCCGGGCCGAGCCATGGCTGGTGCTGGCCTGCTGGGTGTGCAATGGCCCAAACCATAAAAAGTTACTGATAGTATTAGGTAGTCCAAGCCCAAGGAGAAATAGAGAAAAAATAGAAGCCCCTGATTTCCAACACACATGTTCAAGCGATAATCACCCTCCCTCAATTGCCCCAGCCTCTCACTCTCTCAGCTCTCTGCAAGCGAATAAACAGGGGACGGACGACCGACCGACGAGGAACTCCGACCACCGTATAGGGCTGCGGCTGCACCACACCTCGGAGCCTCCAGTCCGATCCTTCGTCTCACTCGCTCACCTCGCCACAATTCGTCAATAGCCTAGGTAAGTTTATCTATTACAAATTATAAAGATTGATTTTCTTGACTTGTTTGGATTATTAAGTGTTAATCTTCTTGATTATTATGTGATATATTGCGGTTGTATTTCTTATTTTAATTATGTATACTTATTAGTGCCATTACTCCATTACGCCTACTGATTTTTGATGAAATTTAACAACTTAGGTTGTTATATCTGATTTTCTGTAGCTAATTGAAGAAGTAATTAAACTAATTTTTTATTTATATTTAACAAGTGGGTATAATATGTTATTACTTATTAAGCTATTAATTTAAATTCTTTAATTATTTTTACATGATTAGTGGAGTAATTCTAGCAGCTTGGCAGTAATTATTGTCCAAAGAATGTTCCTTTTTTAAATGAAATGTATTTTATCAATGAATACTTTTACACCTCATTCTTTACTGAGCAGACTCAAAATAGAACCAAGAATCAGCACAAAATGAATGAAGTTTACATTAACTGATTTACATTTTCTAAAATCACATCAGTCCGAAATACTACTCCGTATTAACCAGTTTTCTTCCAAAATAAGGCGTAACTAACACAAACACTCCCCAAACTAATTTAATCCAAAAAACCTAGTATTAAAAAGAAAACATGTCTCTCCTGTGATTGTTTGTTCGTCTGGTATTCTCTCGCAGTCTCGCCTCCTTATAGCTCTGCTTTTCCTTCCGGGATATCCCTGTGTCTGTTACTTCTCTCAAAAGTCTTAGGATGTTTTTACTTGGACTGTAATTTGCTGGTCTGGTCTGATCTGTTCTGGTCTGGTCTGGTTTCTTTGTATTTTTATAACTACTCAGGTCTGGTCTGGGACGAATTACAGTCCAAGTAAAAACATCCTTACTCTTCTATAAGTACAGTGCAATTTTGAACTCTCGTGGGGGCGCTTTTTTGTCATTCTTTTCTCATGTTTCTGTGGATTTTTTTTACTGTTTGTTCCCATAGTTTATTATTTTCTGCTGATTCTTGGTTCTATTTTGAGTATGTTCAGTATATTTTGTCGCAGTCTGCAGATAGACAGTTCTATGCTGAAATATTGCCTTTCAAGTGTAGTACTTATTACTTTTAAGACCTCTCATATTTAGCTTCTATATAGCTATACTCCCTTACCCTTTTTTGAAACATGGAAGTCTCAAGTTCATTAAGGTTACCATTTAAGAAAACTCTAGATTTTGGGGGTTTACTAGTTATGTGTTATGATTCTAAGTTTCTAACTGTATTAATGTTAATAGAACCTATTTGTTTACTTCTATGTAGCACGGAAACTCTCGAGAAAGAGTACGTTTCCGTTTTAAAAACTCTACGGAAGCTCTTTGGAAACTCTCCAAACAATTGTTTTTTGAGCAAAAGTTGACGTTTCCCGTTTCCTCATGATTTTCACGTTTCTGTCCAGCATAGGTTTACTTTACTCCTTAGATTGATTTATGATATTTAATTACAATTAATATATATGTAATTTATTTTACATAATCTGCTATGCTTCAACTATTTATAGCAACACTATCAGCTATATGTATCCAGCGGTTTTAAGCTCTCTCCATAATTCGCTATCTGCTATTGATTACACAGCTCTTATTTTGTTGTCATCTTCAAAGGAGTGGACTTCTTTCTTCTAAAACAGGATTTTTTGTGTTTTGTGTTAGTATATGCAGATAATACTAGTTAATCTGAGGTTTATCTTCATATAGACACCACCGCTGGAGTTCGGTCAGTCTTAATTGATTCTATCGGGAAGAAATGGGAGTGCAATTAGCTAGCGAGCAAGTAGCCATGCCAGATATTGAGAATGTTGACCTTTCTGACTCAGTAGTGGTATATCATGTCAAGGATGCACTCAAATCTGCTATCAAGGTAAACATTTTTTTAAATGGATGGCAAAACTACATAGAATTCTTTAAATATTCGTTCAGGACTACATATGTGGAATGTATCATTAGTTTCTATAGAAACAAATATGTTGTTTAACAGTTATCCCCCCTGTGCTTTGTTTTATTGGATGCTATTTATGTGTATGCATGTGTGTGTATTCTAAGAACAGAATTCTTAAAGTATAATTTTTTCAAATTGATAGATGTTATAATTTGCCCATACCTTTGTTTTTTATTTTATTTTGGGGGTGATGTAACACACTAACACTGTAACAGATAGGGTGGGTATGTGGGATGCTATGAATCTCTTATCTTTGCATTTATTGCCAGTATGCGTAGCTGCACCCATCCTCCCATGTTTTGGTGCACATCCCTTGACCAGATATGAACTAATTGATTGATCATAGGAAGTAACATTACACTGGTCATTGGATTCTTCATAAGTCAATGGTTCCATTATGGTCACTATCCTCTCTTGTGGAGCGGCGGGCTATAGCGGAAATAGTTGCTGCTATAGTTAGTGTTATAATAGGGCCATTGAATATTTTTTTGGAAGAAATAGGGCTATTGAATATTTGGATCGTCTTTGCTAGGATTAGGGGATTTTTAGATAATGTTTTTAAGAGGTTTTAAAATGGTAAAGCAGTTTATTTTTGGATTTCTTCTTCTTCTTTGATGACTAGAATTGTGGCTCAAAAAGTGACATACGAAGCAGAAAATCTTCAACGGCTAGAGACTTTGCTTCTTCTACTACATCCAACTCCATCTGTTCTTCTTTTTCTACTTTCAACATTTCTGCTCTTCTACAACCCAGTCTAGGAGCTTGCTGAATATGAATGAAGACCACTATGTTTAAGCCCACATGAGATAACCTTTTTCCTTCTTGGCAGTCTTGAATGATAAACTCCCCTGTCCCACTATCCTTGTCCCATTTTCCTTCTCCTCCGTCTGACTAACTTTGTCCCTTACCATATTTGGTAATATTTGTGTGGTTGTAATTCTTTCTTACTTTATTCACACTATCAATTCAATACCAAATACATAACTCTACTTTTATTAATAACCGCACCACCCCAAGATACCTGTCACTTTAGGAATAACAAATGTCACTCATGAACTTTGAGTTACATGTATCATTTTTTGGATTTGATATATCGGGGGTATGTAATTATATGTATACATATATTTATGCAGCATAAAAGTTATCTAAATAGCGGTTGTCCTGCTTTCCACTATGACACTGTACTGCTATAGTGGTTTTGGGCTAGGCCACTATGCTCTGCTATGTAGGATAGACAACAATTGATCTCTATTGTTGCTATGAGCTTGTTTGCTGTGAGTTTCATTTATTGTTCTTCATCAGCTGAACTTGTGTGGTTGTAGGGTGACATTGACAAGTATTCCCAGCTTGTCGGAGTTATGAGTCATGATCAACACCTAGTACCTGAAGATGTGGCATTACTTGTGGTAATATTTTATTCTACATGTACTTTGATGAAAACCTAGTCCTTTTCATTAGTAATTCAGTTATCATGGATTTATCTTATATTTGTAATCAAATTGTATGGCAGACATGTTTAAAGGCTTTGTCAGGAACTGTCTCTTTTATACACATTGTTCATCATCGATCTCTTCTTTCTTCGGTAAGAATTAGTTATACATCTTTTTAACGGTTCCTATAAATTTACATTTTTCCTTTTCTTTAAAATAATATCATATGGATAGCCTACAGGTATTTAGAATGAGCATGTGGAACTACGGGACTGATGTGATGGATGCTCTGATGGAACTGTTGGTATCGTTGGTATGTTTTTTTATTGGGAAAACTTGTCCTTTCATTCTTAGCACTTCGGCTCTTGGTGATCACTACCATATTTCAGGCAGCATCAAATGGAGACTATGTTGATTTATGCTTGGAAATGCTTGTAAGCAATTTTACACCACCCTCTACCTACGTACACTTGTTGAATCAGCCAAGGGGCCAGGCAAAAAAGGGGCAAGTTCTAGATCGTGTGCATTCTACGTTGAAAGATATTGCTGATTTAGTACCACTCTCACCTTTGAGACTTGAGAAAATAGTAAAGGAAAGAATGCCTAAGATGAACGGCCCTAATGCCTCTAAGGAATTTGTGAGTTCGCATACACTCTCCTTCGACCAATTTTTTTCTTTACCCCTTTCTTTTGACTTGGTGTTTTTAGTACAAATATGATGTATAATTGTTTATTAGTTGAAAACTTGCATGGATTTGGCAAAATGTTATTTACTAAATGATATTCAATAAACTTGAGCATTGTTTCTGTAATAATATTAATTTGTATCCAAATGTACTTGATGAAAACGTTATTCTTTTTGGCATCTGTGACAAGAAAATGTATATAAATAATCATTGCATGTGGTGAAGATATTATTAAATGTTCATCTCTTGGTGCTAGATTGTGATCTATGCGGAGAACATGCTAAGGTTGGACTGTAGCCCACTCAGTGAACTTGTTGGGAGCACTATGCTTCTGGCAATTGTGGACAGAATTGTAGAATTGGATGTAAGTTGTATCATGAGGAAGTGCTTAAACATAATTCGTGCAAATATACAAGACACATACATCAACAGTAACACTCACATTTCAGGTGTTTATACCATGGGATTCTATTATGCAAGATGATTTTACGAAAGGAATTTTTGAAATTGAGCTAGAAGATCTACAGGGGCCCATGGATGATGATCAGCAGGATAGTTTTGAGGTAATAGTGCTTATACATATACAACTTCTTGAGTACTTGTTCTTAAAGCATGCCTCTTTTATCTGCATTTATTAACTTTTAATCTGCTTTGCTTGTTGTTGCTCTTCAGTCTTTACATGGCGTTAGTGTAATGTGAACTCGTGAAGTTCAAACCCTTGGTCGGTATGCGATGGATAAACATAAGATTCTTACATGAATTCTTAGACCTGGATATCTGATACTCCCTCCTCCAAATAAAATCTCAATTTGTCCAGGCATGGAGGTTAAGAGATTGAAAAATGTGGATTGAAATTTAATTAGAGAGTTAAAATCAACCACATATTTAGGGATGGCAACAGGGCGGGTTTGGGGCGGGGGTTCACTCCCCCATCCCCCGCCCCATGTCTAAAAAGTCCCCCCCATCCCCGCCCCATCCCCGCCCCATCCCCTGTCACTCCCATCCCCGCCCCACCCCATTGTCCCCCACGGGTGGCCACGGGTGCCCCCATATATATTTTAATTATCTTATTTGTGTATTTTTAATCCATTTTATAGATAAATAAATATATATATAGCACTGAAAGAGTTAAACTAGATAATATTGTGTTCGATAAAAGATGGTACCACCAATTTTTAATAATTCTTCAATTTGAATAATTTTTATGAAAATAATAAAACTAAAAATATAAGTAAACATATTACCATCATGTATGTCATTCCAAAATTCTCATCAATTATACTACAATTAATTATATAAATTATACATATGTGTGCGTGTGTTCTATTTACTTAGTTTCTCACTTTTAAAACTCATATATCATTTATGATAAATATTTTGAGTCATTACTTATTATTCTAATATAATACTTACGTAGTATTAGTTCATTAATCATGACTAATAGTCTAATACACATACATCAATACATGTATGCATGTGTACATGTATGTGTATGTGTTTGTTAAATAGTACATATAATTTATTTAAATATGTTTATACCCATTATTAATATATGTGTGTGTGTGTTTGTGTATATATTTATAACGGTTACAGGGCGGGGACGGGGCGGGTGTAGTAATCCCCATCCCCCGCCCCATATTTTAGCGGGGTAGAAATATCTCATCCATCCCCGCCCCCCGCCCCACCCCAAACCCCGCCCCATCCTTCCCCCGCGGGGCGGTTCCCCACAGGTCCCCACCCCCATTGCCATCCTTACACATATTGCTTTCCCTAGAAGGAAATGGGGGATACTTTTGGGACGTACTAACACAGAAAGTATGTGTTGTATTTATAAAAAGAAGAGAGATTCTGATATATGCAAACATAAAGATTCATCCTCCATAGTACAATAAGTATAGACCCTATGTAGTTATTAGTTATTATATTCTCTGACACCTAGAGTAAATACCGCTTTGCAGCTTGAAAGGGATATTTGGATAGACAGGTTTTTTGGCGACAGTGACAATGCTCAGAAGTTGGATAGTTTGATGGTGCTCACATTCGAGTACTTCATATCATGCAACGAAAGTGGACGGCTTTGTCAGGTACTTATTATCATCTCCATACCCCCACCCCTTTCCTTGACATTCTTTTGGTTCTTAATTTCTTATGCATGTCTCCTGGCATCTTGCAGGTTTTTGATACACTTCTTCACTCGTTTCAAAAAACTGTTATGACTGCTTACAAGTCCAAATTTGCCCAGGTAAAACATGAACATATTCTGCTTTTGATGAATGTCGTATGTGTAAGTTTCTTTTTAAGAAATAAAAAGATTTATTAAGGGTGAGAGATTACACTATTGCTAGAAAGTAGAAAGCTAATGACCAAGAGAATAATTAAAAATTAACGTTAATGAAGGGAGAAAATTAAATAAAAATGATGCTGCGAAAGCCCCAATTTCTCCTCAGGAGCTGCGAAAAATACCCAGAAAACTTGACTCCCAAAAATTGCCAAAGCTTGACCAGTTGACCCAGAAAGCTTAACTCTTCTCAGAAAATGGCCACAATACCGCCTAAAAAACCAGTTTGCTGCTACAATTCCTTCATGAAGATTCAAACCCGTCTGCAAGTCCCGACTGCGAAAACAAAAAAAAAAAAACTTACAAGGCAACACTACTCTTGACCTCTATGTGTGCACTCCTTTGTGTATTGGAGGAGTTTCGATCTCAGATAACCGACACAGTAGCTTTTGATATGAGGGGGATCTTCTTAAGGGTGTAGTAGCATAGATCATGTGTGTGTGTCTGTGAGAGAGAGAGAGAGAGATTGTAAAGTTCAAGTTATATGCATTTGATATTTTGATGGCAATGTGATCTGGCTAACGGTTGCTAGAAACTTACTATCTCTCCATAAGAAATGATGTAATGGTTAAAATTTATTCATCACCTACGGTTGAATACTTGAGTTAATTCTTGATACTAATGAGAGAAAATCTGGAATGTTGAATTGATTCCAAAAAATGAAGTTAGCAAGTGAGTGGCATGACTGCATGAGCAATCTCATTAGGTCAGTTTGATTAGATCTTATTATACACACATGTATGTATTTGTGCACATACGTACATACAATACATGCATAGATATATATATGTATTTATATAAGTATGTATAAATTTGCATGTGTGCATGTGTATAATCTTCTTGCCATTTTGTAATTACAATTCTTTATGTTTACAATCTTTCAGTTTGTTATGTTCTATGCTTGTTCACTTGATCCTGAGATCTGCGGCAAGAGGTTTGCGATCACACTAATTCATATATTTGAGACCGGTGTCCATGTAGAGTTGAGGTAAGACTGGGATTGTGTTATGTTACCTTATGTTAGTCTTGTTTTCCTTTCCTCTCTCTCTCTCTCTCTCTCTCTCTCTCTCTCTCTCTCCCCCCCCCCCCTCTCCTCCTCTATGTACACACATCTTTTCTACTTTTTTGTTATTAAGTATGTGTTTGATGCTTGCAGAATGAGTGCTGTTGCATATCTTGCTAGTTATATAGCACGTGCAAGGTTTTTGGACGTGCCGTTTGTTGCTGACTGTTTGGAAAGGTACATCCATGTAAAGTTCTTAATCATAGCCTCATAGGTACCTATCATGGTGTAAGAAAAGATTTTAGGATATTTGATATTTTGTGTGGTCTACTTTCTCTGTGTTTTTCAGACTGGTGAATTGGTGTTATAATTATAGCAAAAGTAGGGTCAGTGAAACTATTCCAAATCCTAAAGCTCACAAGGTTTTTTATGCTGGATGTCAAGTAAGCCCTTGCTGGTTTTTTATTTTATTTTATTTTATTTTAGACTTAAAATCTTAATCCATTTGGTTTGATTTTTTTGGCACAATAATGAGTGTATTAAGGGGATCTATTTAGTATCTTACTCTGTTTCTTTACAAAAACCTGCAATTGTTCCCATTATCGCCCATTCGTCCTGCATGTCTGTACCTTTAGATCAATATATTTGTGGTTCTGATCCCAATAAGCAATTGGTTTAAACACTAAAATATGGGAGTTTTAAGTTGCAAATCCTCCTCGTGCCAGATCGGTAGTCTAGATCCAATCATGAACTGATAGACTTATGGCAGGGATCACTAGGGCTACAGCCTGCAGGTGAGATGGCCGTGTATTGGGCAATGCCCATTTGCTCTTAGTTCAGTACTAGAACTCCAATTATAGTTGCTTATAAACTAATTACAGAGGACTTTTTATGCATATGTATATGTATAAGTATATATCGATTTAGTTTTAATATCTAGGCAAGATCTTTGAATCTTGACAACATGGCTGTTTATTTCTTTTTCTCAGAATATAAATTTGTGCAAAGGAGTGTCATCATTCCAAGTTTTTAAATATATAAATTTATTCTCTAACATTACTCCCCCCCCCCCCCCCAAGTCAACCTACATCCACTAAGAAGCTAAACAGAACCCTAAACATGTGACCACTGACCAGTAATTATGCATCCCTACCATGTTTTCTTTCAAGTATTGTTGGAGGGGGGGGGGGGGGGAGTTGGAAAATAATGCCCATTTTTAGCAATTGTTTGTAGTTGTTAATGGAATTTTCAATATCTTTTCTCATGTTTTTTTTTTGCTTTTGTTCAAGGGCATAATGTACATTATTTGCTTCCGAAGGGGATCCATTCATAGTTTGTTCCGTAACAAATCTAAACTCATGCGCATGCATATAGAGGATATCCTGAGGCATCGGCTAAGCCCTTTGATGGTAAATACTTTGATTACGCTAGTAATACTTTATTATTTATTTTTCTTGAAGAAATGGTTGTGTTTATGTTTTCCCTTTCATTTACCTGTCAAAACAAAAATAAAAAACATTGTTTGGATTTTATTTTTCTCTTCTATTGTTTTTTAGTTTCTGAAAAAGCGTAAATGAAAATCTAGAATTACTAGAAATTTGACACATTTTATGTTTCAAACACATATTGTAGATTTGACGCTTTTTAATTCTTTTAAATCATTTAGGGTTTGTATAAAGATTTTATATTTTCATAACAATTGTGGAGTAATAGTCACAGTAGAGTATGATTCAAACCATATCTATCTAACCAGTAGATTTGAGGGGAAAAACATAAAAGAAGTTCAAAATTATGAATTAAAAAAATGAAACAGAACATGAAAAACACTACTGAATAAACCTCTGTTTCAATTTATCATTTCAACAAGTGACTGGATCATTCTTTGTTATAATCATCTGTTTTTTAATCAGGTTTGCTTGCCGTCAATAGTGGAAGAGTTCCTTAGGGTAGCTGAAGCCACATGCTTATTTAGTTTCCCTGACAATGATGCCCCTGTCGGTCTGCTTGAGTCTGAACTCTCAATAGCATTTGGTGGGAATCAGAGGCTCGACACATTTTTTCCATTTGATCCCTGCTTGCTAAAGAAGGCCGACAGGTTTGCCCATTTGTGAACTAACCTGGAAGAAACCAACACATTCAACATTTTTGCAGTTTGTACTTTGTACTAATGAGGATAAATGCTGGATAGTCCATTAATGGTGCGAAAGTCGTGTTTTCTTCCTTTAGTTTGTGTGTGGCATTTATGTCCTACATCATAAAAACACTAGACGAATTAGGTATATTTTGCCAACAGAAATTGTTGCGTGAAAATGAAAAAAAATGCAAAAGTTTTCATGCAATGTTTGGAGGGTAACATTTTTAGTCCCAACTTTTGTCACTTTTGGACAAATGGAAAACACGACTTTGAATTTCCTCAGTTCTTTAATTATTGTGACAGTCGCTTGTGGTTCATGTCTCTGAATTTTTGGTAGACTTTTACAATAGTTAGAGTACTATAAATGGAAATGTTCTAAGGAGGGTACCGCATGTGTGTAACAATGGTCAAAGTACAAAAAGTGAACATTCAAAGACGAATACCTAAAGTGTCATTGCATACTAGTCATAGGGAGGGTTACAAGTAACAAAACTTCTTTTTTAGTCCTAAAAACTTTTGTATTTAAATTTTTATTCTCATAGCTTCCATGTTACGTAGTAATATTTTGATGAAAGATTTGAGTTGTATTCCTGAAAAATTCAAATTTTGAACACAAGAACTGTTGTCACCAGGGAAACTATGGGATTAAAATTGCCACTCCTAAGAGTTGCAAGACTTGTCTAGCATTATTTTACCTGTTTGTGTAGTGCTTGTTTTCCTGATCATTCTGTGGTGTTATTTTTTTCTTAGGTTCATTAGGCCAAACTTTGTATACTGGTCGATGGTACGAACTGCTAGTGATGAGGCTGAAGAAGACGAATGCACGAGTGATGAAGATGATGTTGAAGTTTGCATTCCTGGGAATGCTATAGACATTGGTGATGGAACATCCCGAAGTCTTGACGGTGACAATGAGGGTGGTCTTGATAGCAGCCTTAGCAAGATGTCTATAACTCCTAAAAATATGTTGCTTCATCAACGCATTGGTGGCGAAAGGGCCGGTTTGCTGATGCCATCTAGAATCCGACCCTGTCCTGAGTCTTTGTGAATTGTGATCAACCTATTGATGTGCTTCTGTTATGGAAAAGAGGTTGTGTTGTGCGTATGTAATTGTAGTTAAATTGATTATGAACTTGAATTAGTGTATTGTTTAATGTTAAACCTATCATAAAATTAGTTCACGTGTAGTATGCCACTTGAAATTTATTGTTGAACTTGTTGACGAAGTTTCCATTTCTGGCCGATTTTGATCGAAGAATCATTTACGTTGGTCCCAGTTTGATTTAAAGACAATTGTTAAAGAAAGATATTTGCTGATATTGTTCAGTATTTTCTGTGTTTCTCGGTTTCTCCTACAAACAATTACGATTTGAAAGCTTGAAACTTGTAATTTGTAAAGGGTGGGTGGGAACTGGGAAAATACGATGATGAAATGATTTTGTAAGTGTTTCTCCACTTATAAATATTAAATGTGACAATTAATAAAAACAAAACTAATACTACGTAAAAAAATTAGTAATAATAATATAATAATAAAATATAATGAAGTATATGATTGAATTTAAGGTGGTGATCAAATGTTATTTTATAGACTCAAAGGAAATTTAGTTATTATGATTGTGTTCAATATATTAGTGATTATGTACAGTTACTATATATTAGTGATTTTTTTGTTTGTAAATTATATATCAATAATCTCAATATATTATGTATCCATATTAAAATATACAAATAATAACACCAAATATATACATTTAAATCCAATCGAGGAAATTAGATTATTATGAAAGATCCAAATGAGGTTAGACTAGAAAGATTCAGATCAGGTTGAACTAGAAAGATTTAGATAATTAAGATCATGTGATTTAAACATTTAGATGATGATGATGATCATCATCATTACCATAGTGCCGCAAAGGGTCCCACCTTCATTAGGGTAAGGGGATGGGGGGTCGGATGTACGCAGTCTTACTCTTGTACTAAAGTAAAAATTAAAGAGACTGTTTCTGAATGACGCATAGTGAAAATCGCGTCGAGAATTGCATGGACTGACTGCTGCTTTATTCCATCATATTCTCAAGCAAAAAAATAGTGAGTGTTTGACTCCATTGCTGACTCCATTGCAAATGATGCATGGAAAAGATTTAAACATTTAGATCATGTGAATAATTTAATAAGATTTGTTAGATTGTGTTTTTGCATGATTTGGTATATTTAAATATCCTTTATTTTAATTACATGTACACGGTCATCCTACTATGTATACAATGTGCTCTAGGGCATGTAATGGGCTGAGCCCAAATACCCGGAGCTCGAGTTTGGCCTATTTGGTGATAATGGTATTCGGGCTCGAGCACGAAATTTGATGAGGTTTACAAATGATGCACGGTAGATGTCCGATGTTCGAATCGAATGCTCCATAAGTCCAAGAGGAGTATATGTACTAGCTTAGTAACTAGTATGGAGTATGTTCTTACTCGTTTTGCTAGAGATATATTACTTTTTTCACAAATAACCAAATAATGTACTAATAAAAAAACTTAATTTGAGATATACAATGGGAAAAAAATTAAAACCTAATTAAAAATTACAATAAAATACATAATTTGAGATATGAAATTTAAAAAAAAAATAACCTAATAATAAATAAAATAAATGAGAAATAAATTCCATCTTAGCCCTAGCTCACTCCAATATTTGTTTATATTATTCATGTAAAACCGGTAAAAAGAATTTTTTATTAGATAAAATTTTACATGAACTTTTTACATTAATAGTATAAGACTTTTTTTAAAATTTGAAGTGAGTTTGGACCTAACATGACTTTTTATTAAATATTTACTTTATTTAGTACTCCGTATTGAACTATTTTAAATTATGTTTTAGTTGCATGTCTCAAATTATATTTTTATTAAATTGTGTTTTTATTTTTAATTGAATATGTCAAATTAAGTATTTCGTTATGCTCTTTAATTATTTGAGGAAGTAATAATATATAATTAAAGAAACAAGTAATACACGAGGTCACGAGTTAAGTTAATATACTCCGATTTAAAATTTATAGATTTTTAATATTTACAAACGAGAGTGTTTAAAATTTATATATTTTCAATATTTATAAGCGAGAGCTGGTAACAAGTGAACAATATATTTTAGTGCGCACATTGTATAAGCAGGCATGCTAGAACCTACACTTTCTGCCTTTGTAAAAAAAACAAATTAGGACTCTTGTATATTCTTCTCCATCTGAAATGTATATTTACTCAAGTTTTTGTTGCATGGAAGTTACAAGCAAGGGACGTTTCTTTCTTATGTTGCATTAACAGTAGCGCCACCATTGATGAAAGCGTGAAATTCCATGCCAGGCAATGACATGCACAAGTTCAAGGACAGAGATGGAGTGGCTGGATAGTCTGCAGAAACAGCTAGGGATGGTGACCAACAAGGAACATCAGAAACCGCAGTAGGACGAGGAGGTGGCTGCAAAAATGGAGTCTCCGGCGGAGGAACCGATGGCATTGATGAAACCAGGTGGTGGTGGTGGTTGCCTTGAGGAGGAGGTGGTGGTGGAGGAGGAGGCTCCCCCATTTTTCTATCTTCTTCAGACGGTAATGGTATTGTTGAAGATACCTCCACCTGTCATAAACAGTAGTACACACAACTTCAAGATGGGAATACATCAAATGCTTTCTTAATTAAGATTAGAACATAAGCACAAATAGATCGATCTTATTGTTTTCTTCCTAAGGTATCAATTTGTTTCTAATTACAAAAAGTTTATACTTTAAGCAAGACCAAACACTACAAAAAACTAACTGAATTGAAACACAAATTTTTAAAGATTTGGCAGAAATAATCCGTTCCAAAACGCTTCGACATTGATTTGACATGGAATCGCGGCTCTGTCAAATTCGTGACAAAATCTGTGTCAAAGCAAGTTCGCCGAGTGCTATTTTGCTCCATGCTAAAAAAATTATTTGATACGTGTCAAAATCAACTAATCCATGTCAATGTCATTTTTTGTAATGAAATAAGTTATATTTTGGAAATAAAACATAGTTGCTCCTATTTGTACATTTTGTCTATGTGTTAGTCTTATATGGAGCAATTTCTTTAACTATTGGTAATATTGCACTTCGTTATCGTAATCATACGTACATGTTTCATCTGTCAATCGTATTTAAATTTTCGACCAAAAAAAACTATATGGAGACGGTCGAAGTTCTGCATGTGCAGTCTACTCAACATTACTTTTATCCCTGTATCACTGTGTCGTTGATAATACGCATGAAATTTTAGCAGCCATATAAGATTTTTTGGTCTGAAAATTTAAATAACTAAAGTACCAAAATGTGATTGTACCAATAGTTAAGGTACTATTTATGCACTTTACCCCCATATCCAAGGCTAAGCTAAGGCTAAGTTAGAATAGGATTATTATTATTGTTGTTGTTATTAATATTCTCTACCACCACCGTACCGCCAATCATTCCTAAATCTCCAATAAATATGAAGTCAAAATATGAGTTAGGGACTATTGTAATTTGTCATATTGTGTTGATATCAAGACTCAAGAGATCCCATTCTAAACGGTATGTACAGAACCGCCATATTTAGTGGTTCTCAAATACTCCGTATTAAAGAAGTGTTGGGAAAGCATTAAGATGGGTGCTCCCAACTCCCAAATCCCAACTTGCTAAAATTATTGTTGCACCACTAATATATAATCCCCACTATCTTTTTTAGCGGTTGGTTAATAACTTAGTGGATGGGGTGATTAGTTTAATGTAATAATATTTTGTAGGGATTATGGCAAGAGTAATACTAAGAGAGAAAAGAAACTTTTTTAAAATTTCCAATTTTTTTTTTGAAATTTCCAAAAAGAGACTAAAAGGTGTAAGAGCACCATTATACTCTCCCTAGTGAGTCCCTACTCGACTCATTATTAATATAATGACCATCATCCATCCATCCATCTGACCAACATCTGCTCGTCCAATGATCAACGTCCATTTGTCCGTCCAGTAACCAATGTCTAATCATCCAGTGGCCATCGTCCGCCCTTCAACTCACCAATGTCTGACCGCGCGTCCTATGACAAAGCAACTCCATTGGCTATCGTCGCCTCGACGATGACCATCACCGTCCGCTCTTCCACCATGCGCACAACCTGCCCCACCCCCACCAGCCCAACCCTTCCCACCCTAGCCACAACCCCAACCTCCCAAGCCCGACCGATGACCACCATCCTAGCCCCCACCAGACCCAGACCCAACCCTAGCTGTTGTGACAATCTCCAATGACTGCCCCTGGCGGATGTCACAATATCTGACCAGCCCCAGTCAGCTGTCACAATCTCCAACCAGCCCCAGCTCTAGTCGTCGTCACAATCCCCAACCAACATTATTTCCGATCACAATCCTTGACCAACCCTAGCCGCCACGAACTTTTCAATCTGAATCAGAAAACGACGAAGCAATCGAAGAGCGTCGTCACAGATCGATGTCTTCATCGACCGGCGCCGACACCATTGTACGTCGATTGCGGTGTAGGGACTTGCGGTGGCAACGGTAGAAGCTGGGAGGTGGCAACGGAAGCATGGTAGTGGCAGCGGCTCCTGTGCTTTGGTGATGGCAATAACTTCTCTTGTGGTGGCTGGCGGCAAATATCAAGGAGATAGCTAGCAGGACACAGGTTAGTTAGACAAGTGGGGGGAGAATAAGATTTTAGGTTTTTGCTACTCTATTTTTCATAAGAGTATTTATGTCTCCTCATATATAATTAGTCTCGTTTTTGTCCAAATTTAAAACTAGTCCTCCTTTTGTCTGATCTAATGAATGGCCAGTAGTATTACTTGGTCATTATTTCTTTTTTAATTATTCAATAAATTATTAATACCAAGAAAGTTCTTCCAAAAAAACAAATACCAAGAAAGTTGACCCAAGTTGCAAATTCCTTAGCTCATTCCTGATAAGTCTCATTTACCAATCTCGCATTTTACTGTTAACTACTTCCTCCATCTAGCTAAGATGTCTATCTTTCCTTTAAATTTGTTCATTTGGAGGGACACTAAGGCTTTGTTTGCAACCACTTGTGCTTAAATAAAAGCATTTTTTGGGAAAAAGTGATTAGTAGTGAAAGTTGGTAATGTTTGGTAAAATAAGTGTTTTTGTGTAATAAAAAAAGTAAAAAGTAGATTCTACACAAAAACTGAGATAGTAAAAGTTGGTAGTGTTTGGTAAAATAAGTGTTTTTTCTTAAAAAAAAAGCCAAAAGCACTTATATACAGAGATTGCAAACAGAGCCTAAGGTCACTTAAAAAGCAATAAGGTGGATGTAGCCATGTAGGCCCGTCAACGGGTTGGATAAGGGCCAAAATTATATACTACGTAGTACTTCTGTCCCAATTTTTTTTGTCATTTTAAAACTTTGACCAATCATATATTTTTATTTGAAATTAATTATAATAATAAAATTATATGAACAATGTTTTTTGTTAAAAACACTTTCATAAAAGTATAAAATTTATAAATTTCATACTATTATGATCCAGATTTTATGAAATGCGATTTGGAACGTAGGTAGTATTTCAGATCTATATCTATCGAGTAATTTTTGCTTAAAGTCTAACTAAAATTTATATCACAAAAATACATATACGCGCTGGTTTAAGCATGAGATTATAGATAATTAGATGCATTCAAAAAGCAAATTTCAAATTGATGGTTAAATTATAGAGGCGGGGTGTAAGCATCAGGTAACTACTCCCTGCGAGTACTATTCTAGCAAATATTCTTCTTTAGTTTTCAAGTGGTACATTAAAACAAAAAGAAAAATGGGTTCAAATAATACAAATTGCTCTAAACTGACTAGCCGAGTAAAAACAATTTCATCCATATTCAATTCTTTATCCACATTTTACAAAGTTTCTAGTTGGATTGATTTTGGTTTTAAAAATAGATAGGACAAGATTTGAATAAATACACTAGACCATACAATATCAATAGACTTTGACAATTATAAAATACACATAAAACAACTTTGGCAAGTACGATAGTATAAAATACATATATAACATACTTTGAATTAAAAAAACATGGTGAGAAACTAACAATTGTTGGGGGCGGAGAGAAGGAATTACCGGAGATGTGATATCAAAGAGGCTGGATCTGCGACGGCGGTGGTGATTGGAATGTGTCCGTCGGAGGAAGTGTTTCTGAGCATGACTCGCGACTTGCGTGGGCGAGCGAGTCTTCACGTAATTTCTGGAAATTCCTCTCCAGTTTCCTTTTCCGGTTTTCTCCAGTCCCCACAGGAACAGCTTGTGCTCTTCTTCTGTCCACGCTACCCCTTCAATCATTCAATTCAACCGTCTCCCAATTACTCATTCACTTTCATTTACACCAAAATTTCACACTCGGATACGTACAAAATAAATATTTGTTCAAAGCTCAATCAAGAAGCACATTTAAGAAAAGTATATAGAAAACTGATTAGTTATCGAAAAATTGTGCATTACATTTCAGTCCCAACCACTTTTGTATATAAATAAATACGGAGTAAAAATCTACTCCAATTAATCATTAATTTTGGTTAATGATTAGTTGATCGATGTACTTGAACGAACAAACATGCACCTTCTCAACAAAAAATATAGGTGATTAACCATTCATTTATTAGTAACTGTAGAATCTAAAGTCGTAATTGATGATGTCAATTGGCGTCATGTGTGATTTTTTATTATTGATGTAACGATCCTAAGAGCCCGTTTGGTAGCACCAAAATCGGCTGTTTTGGCTGATTCTGCAGAAATTTATGATATTCTGGCTGGAGTGGCTGTTTTGGCTGATTCTGCTGATTTAAGAAAAAAATATTTTAAAAATATATTTTATTAATAAATTAAAGAAAAAATTATATGTAAAAATAGCTAAAATGGTCCTCTACAGTAACTTCAGCCAATACAGCCAGAAAAGTAACTCCAACCTTACTTTTTCGGCTTATTACACAATATTTAGCGCGCGAAAGTAAAAGTTACGTGTTTGGTGAAAAAGCTGGCTGATAAGCCTGATAAGCCGAAAACAGAGTTCTCCAAACGGGCTCTAAAACTAATAATATAAATATAAATATTTGAGAATATCGTGTCTATTTTACAATATTATATAATCAAAATAAAAGTAGTGGATAAAAATGTGAATGATAACTATATTCGAATGTGAAAACTGAAAGCATATTGATTATAAAACGTACACATATTAACTCATAAGTCACATTTTTATTCGTAAGTTTTTTATTAATAATATTTTAAGAAAAAATTAATGGAGGAATGACAAAATAATTGAGCTTATCAACTCATACCGTTAGCGGAATAGAATAAATTTGAAAGAGAGCAGTAGTATCTGACCTCGTTTACGCCCGCGGCCAGTGCTGGTCGACGGGAGGGGGTGAACGGCGTCATCAGCGGAGTCATAGCCGTCGTCCACGGCTGCTTTAGCCGGCGGTTCATTATCGGTTGTAGCATCGTCTGGATGCTCGTATTGAGACAAGTTATTCAAACTAACGCTCTTCCTCATGGGGTCCACCCTCACCCTCACTCCAAACAGCATTATCTCTGCCGAACTTTCTGCACCACCGCCCACGACGGAGGCAGACGACGGCGGCTCATTGGACGCCAGCGATTCCTGACCGTCGCTTCCACAGTTGTTCAAGCTACAGCGACGGATCATTTCTCAAACCAAAAAAAAAATCTCTGTCAATGGGCAGAAAACCACCGATCAAATTTCAATAAATAATAATGGGAAGAGGAATTTCGATCTTTTTTGTGGCGGGCCACTTGTCAGGCTAGTGGCGGGTGATCGGAATCTTTGGATCTTTTTATCCTTCCATTACGATATTCTTTATACACTAGGATGAAAAGGGGAAAAGGCATATTTTTAAAGTGTAAATTCGAGATTGTGGCCTTTACTTACGTATCTAGTCATTATTGGTTTTTATTTGAAGCATTGCTCAAGTATATATTTCACGTCTGTTATAAAAAAAAAAAAAAAAAGGTACTACGTATATATCACGGCTCTTGATAAATAAAAATGTTCACTATAAGGACTTTTTACCAATTCGAATGTGATTTTGCGGATGAAAATTTTGATGCGATGACATTGATTTATAGGTACAAATTACAAGACTTACAAAGTTCCAGTGGGTACTAGATACAAACATAAATTTAAATCACCAAATATTCATTTGTCTATATATCAATGATATAAATGGTAGGTTAAGAAATGAAAAACAAACTATCACAACTAAAGAACAAAATAGGGGCCGTTTGGAGTCATGAAAATGGGCTGAAAATAAAAGCCAAACACATGTCAAATGGACTGTTTGGGTTGGTTTTTATTATCACCCAAAAACTTTTTGAGCTGAAACTGATTAATGTATCCATTGCCGACCTAAATACTTGTTTACCCTTTTACGCATCTTCTTTGCTTGGCCATAGCGACGAGAACTTCTTTCCCGGCTGCGCAAACTTTTGTCCATCGATGACTTCTTGCTTGACTGCGCCCTAGTTTCAGCCTTCCAGATCCACGAATTCAAATTGAAGTTCTGCCCACTTTCTTTCAAATTGAATGTTTCTCAAGATGGAGATACTGTGTAATGAACAAATAACTCGCTAAGTCAAAATTGTTATAAAATGGAAGGAAATAAGCAGAAGATCAGGGAGAGAAAGTATAGTCTCAATACTTAGTGAGAAAGATGTTATTAGAAGTGTGATAATGGTGTGTTTACAATGAAGGAGGATGCTCCTATTTATAGGAGAAAATGTAATCATGTCTAGATCAGGGGCTAATTGTGAGCCATACAATTACCATCTAGAAATCATAATTATGATTTCTTATTTATATTAACAATGATGATAATTGTTCCTGATCATGAATAGTTGGAAGATGACTATTCAATATATTTCAACACTCCCCCTTGAATGGTCATCTTCTAATTATTCTGGGGTATTAGTTTCATAGTATTATAATGTACTGTCTCGTTAAAAAACTTTGTCAAGAAAAACCCAGTGGGATAAAAATCTGACGAAGGAAAAAAGAGTGCAGTGCATTATATTACTCCCCCTCAATTTAACATATATCTCGAAGACGATACATTCCAATTTTATGGACCAGTTCTTCAAATTTCTTCGGTGCCAATGACTTTGTGAACAAATCAGCAGGGTTGTCGCATGACTTGATTTGTTTGACATCAACCGTTCCGTCATTCTCAAGATCATGTGTGGAGAAAAGTTTTGGTGCTATATGCTTTGTTCTGTCCCCTTTGATGTAACCTCCTTTGATCTGAGCTATACATGCTGTATTATCTTCATAAATCACAGTAGGATTAGAAGTAAAAGATTTTATACCGCATTCATTTTGTATGTGCTGGATCATTGATCTCAACAAGACACACTCACAACCTGCTTCATAAAGAGCAATTAATTCTGCATGATTTGATGATGTTGCAGTTAATGTTTGCTTCATTGATCTCCATGATATAGCGGTATCACCATAGGTGAATAAATATCCTGTTTGTGATTTTGCCTTTTGTGGATCAGACAAGTATCTTGCATCCGCGTAACCAATTAAAGTGGCATTTGCACCATTCTTGAAATACAATCCAAGATCGATTGTACCATTGAGATATCGGAATATATGTTTGACACCATTCCAATGCCTTCTTGTTGGGGAAGAACTGTACCTGGCTAATAAATTTACAGAAAAAGCAATATCTGGTCGAGTATTATTAGCCAAATACATTAATGCTCCAATAGCACTCAAATATGGTATTTCGGGACCAAGGATTTCTTCATCATCTTCACAAGGTCGGAAAGGATCATCATGCACATTGAGAGATCGAACCACCATTGGAGAATTGAGCGGATGTGCTTTATCCATGTAAAATCGCTTCAAAAGTTTCTCGGTATAATTTGATTGGTGGATGAAAATACCATTTCTCAAATGTTCAATTTGAATGCCGAGACAAAATTTTGTTCTCCCAAGGTCTTTCATTTCAAATTCTTTCATGAGATATTTTGCAGTATTTTCAATTTCATTAGGAGTTCCGATTATATTCAAATCATCAACATATACTACAATTATGGCGAATCCTGATTCGGATCGCTGAATGAAAACACATGGACTAATAGGATCATTTTTATACCCTTCTTTAATCAAATATTCACTGAGACGGTTATACCACATGCGTCCAGATTGTTTTAATCCATATAATGACTTTTGCAATTTTATGGAAAATAAATCTCGAGATTTCGAGCTATAAGCATCAGGTATTTTAAAGCCTCCAGGAATTCTCATATATATGTCTGTATCGAGTGAACCGTATAAATATGCGGTCACCACATCCATTAGGCGCATTTGCAGCCTTTCAAAAACAGACATGCCAATTAAAAATCTTAAAGCTGTAGCATCAACTACTGGAGAATACGTCTCATCATAATCGATTCCTGGCATTTGAGAAAAACCTTGGGCAACAAGTCGGGCTTTGTATCTAACGATTTCATTTTTCTCATTGCGTTTACGCACAAAAACCCATTTAAAACCGACAGGTTTTACGCCTTTTGGCGTATGGACAATTGGTCCAAAAACATTACGCTTTTCTAGCGATTTTAATTCTACCTGAATTGCTTCATTCCATTTTGGCCAATCATTTCTACGACGACATTCGTCAATAGATTTAGGCTCATTGTCATCGTGTTCATTCATTATATCTGTGGCGATGGCATATGAAAATATATCATTAACATCAATATCATTTCTATTCCATTGTATTCCATTAGAAACGTAATTAATTGAAATTTCAAAATTATCGACGTTTCTATCTTTATCTGGAATATTTACCTCTTCGAAGGTGATTGGATCCTCTTTTGAGGTATCATTATTGTTGATGTTATCTTCAAGGCCGATATTTTCAAAATGTTCATTTTCTTCTTGAGAAGGTTGAACTTCTTTGGCATCACAAACTACAACTTGCTGTTTAAATTTTCTTGGTTTCAAATCTCTTGAACCAAGTGGTCTACCACGTTTTTTACGTATCATAGATTCATTAGCAAGTGTTCTTTCGCTAATCTCCGCAGGAATTTCTATTCGAGAAGGAGCATTCATAGCTGGAACATGTGACTTTGTCACTTTCTTTGAGTCTGTGAAAGCATCAGGCAATTGGTTTGCAACATTTTGTAAATGAATAATCTTTTGAATTTCTTGTTCACAAGCATTTGTGCGAGAATCAAGAAAAGATAAATTTGTTGCATTCCAAGTAATATCTTTCGTACGTGGGTCCATTTCTTTGATATCTCCCCCTAAGGCTGGGAATACTGTCTCATCAAAATGACAGTCATCGAACCGTGCGGTGAATAAGTCACCGGTCATAGGTTCTAGATAATTAATAATTGAGGGTGATTTAAAACCAACATAAATTCCCAGCCTTCTTTGAGGACCCATTTTAGTACGATAAGGTGGAGCAATTGGTACATACACAGAACAACCAAATATTTTTAGGTGTGATATATTTGATTCTTTACCAGATATTAATTGTAATGGGGAAAATTTATGATATGCCGTTGGCCTAAGCCGAATTAAATTTGCAGCATGCATTATAGCATATCCCCATGCAGATGATGGTAATCTGGATTTCATCAATAATGGTCTAGCAATTAATTGTAATCGCTTAATTAAGAATTCGGCAAGACCATTTTGTGTATGTACATGTGGAACTGGATGTCCCACATCAATCCCAATTGACATGCAATAGTCATTAAAAGATTGAGATGTGAATTCTCCTGCATTATCAAGTCGGATTTTCTTTATCGAATAATCCGTAAATTGCGATCTCAAACGAATAATTTGAGCAAGGAGATTTGCAAATGCAAAATTTCTAGTCGATAAAAGACTGACATGTGACCAACGTGTTGATGCATCAATGAGCACCATAAAATATCAAAACGGTCCACACGGAGGGGTAATTGGCCCACAAATATCTCCTTGAATTCTTTCTAAAAATGCAGGAGATTCAACTCCAATTTTGTATAAAGATGGCCTGATAATTAATTTGCCAAGAGAACAGGCAGTGCACGGAAAATCACTTGATTGTGGAATCTTGACATTAGTTAATGAATGTCCACGTGAATTTTCAATAATTTTGTGCATCATAGTGCTGCCTGGATGACCTAAACGGTCATGCCACAAGATAAAGGAATTGTGGTCATAAATTTTAGATACCACATTTATCTCAATTGGACTGATATATGGATAATACAGTCCCGAGGAATATGCTGGCATTTTTTCAGAAATGTATTTATTGCCAGATCTATTTGTCGTTAGACATAAATATTCCTTCTGATTTTTAGACACGGTTTCAATATGAAAACCATTTAGACGCAAATCTTTAAAGCTCAAAAGATTTCTCCGTAATTTACTGGAGTATAAAGCGTCTTTAATTATTAATTTTGTCCCTTTTGGGAGAATCACACAGGCTATTCCAGAACCTTCAATGAGTTTAGCAACACCTGAGATTGTATTGACATTAGCATCAACTAATGTCATATGAGAAAAATAATCTCTATGTCTCAAAATGGTGTGCGTTGTGGCACTGTCTATTAGACATTGTTCAGAGCCACTTGGAGAAATTTTAGTTAACTCCATATCTTCGAAAAGATAAAAATGAACAAATATTAGTTCAATACTGTAATATAAATTG